CGGGATGTAAACAATGTGGTGTTTACAATTACATCGCAGGTGATGACTTCTTCGAAACTTCAAACCTGCCTCGATCATCCTCAGTGAGGATCAGAAGGAAAATATGCTTTTTAAGAATGAGAATGGCGTTCTATTTTATTCATTGCAATCGGCGCCCGCTTCAGTGTTTACGCACCGGAATGTAGACAGTTTCATTTCGCATCGCTCGTGATGTTTTGTTTGACTGCGGAGCGCATCATCTTACAATGATGAAAGGTCAAGTTTAGGAAAGTTTTAGTAAATCCCAATGTCAAAGACGAAAATTCATCTAAAAACCAAAAACGCTTCAACATACTACCGTTCATTATCATACTCTGCAAGCGTCTGTCGGTGTCAAGATCTTTCAAAACAGACAGACGGTAAAAACTTCGAAAACAAACAGCAGTATTTCAATATATTAATTTACGCGAGCCTGTTCTGCATATTAATCTCATGCATAAATTTGAGGACATTACGCCGACCACATGTCACGTGACATTGGTTCAACCGACGCTTAACGAAGATGGCGTCCGTCGAGACAATCTCCGCTTCTGGAGACATTTCTCCTCGTCTCCAAAAGCTTCTTCGGGAAGTGTCCGATGAACTCAGCCCCATAGAACAAGTGCATGCCGTATCGTCCATAAAAACTAATTTTAGGGGCAAGTTTGAGGATCAAGGAGAACAAGATTTGTACTCATGCCTCCAGTTATTCGTTAAGCAGGGTCTTGTATCGGAGGACAATCTGACTTTGTTGGAAGGGTTTCTATGCCCGAAAGCACCCAAGAAAGAGTCGCTACAGGAAAAAATTCAACAATTTAAGGAAAACCACCAACAAGAAGTCAGTTCTGGAAAGGGAGAATCAGGTTTGACCGGCAGGGAACGTGACCTGGAGAAAGTTATGGCAATGTTGACAACGGGAAGTTCGTGTGTTGTCAATTTGCATGGAATTAGTGGAGTAGGCAAGACGAAATTGGCAAAGGAAATTGTTTCAAAGTGGCCATGGAGGAAATTCAAGGCTGATTTTAGAGAAATCACAGAGATGGAAGACGTTACTAAAACTAGAACTTAGAGTCTGCACCAAGGAACACCTGGTGGCCCAGGTTCTGACTGTCTTTAATCCATTCATTTAAGTATCCTACAATATTAATGGACAAATGATCTATAATAACACTAATTATCCTTAGAGATGTTACAATTCCTCTTGTACCATTTCAGAGAGTTCAAGCACCACAAAAAGTTACAAGACTGAAATCAATTTTGTTGAACCATGTTATTTTTCTTGAATTGTTCAAATGATCAGCTTATGAGTATTTCATTTCAATTTTAGGAAAATTTAACAGTGATTTGGTCAATTTATCAAAACTTAATATTGGATTATAAATGTTTAACATGTAAGTGTGCATATACCTGGTCCACCATGACCATCTCCAATGTTAAGCTCAAGGTTTCGACGGCTGTCCTTGTGATGAAAAATATGAATAGGCCACATTTCTTTCGGGCTTTGGAATTTTATTCCATTTAACTTCTGCTCATTGTTTACATTGCTAATAGCCATCAAAACAGTGTCCTTCTTGCTATACTTTCTGCCATCACCATAAAGGTGCCACCACTGTTCTTTAGGAAGCCAATAGTAAAGGTAATGCAGACATTCGACCAAACGGGCTGGCTCAATGCGATAACCAGTTGCTGTTCTTTGTGGTTGCATTATAGCCTCAAATTCTAATTTGTATTTGGTCTTTAGCTCAGCAACCTAAGGTAAAAAAGGTTTGCAAATGTTATAAACAGATTTTATTTTATTATTAACTTGAAGTATATCAGGAAAGATACATATAAATGCAAGACAATTACCTTTCTTTTGGTTGCAAGATATCCAGGTGGCAATATCTTCCTGATCTCATCAATTGTCTGTCCAGAATTGCATTGATCTTGAAGTTTCAAGATTGCTGATGGTGGGATTTGCACTGTTGCCTGCTCTTCTCCAATCTGATTGTAAAGACTGTCCCCAGTCTTTGTACGAATTAGCTTAGTCAACAAGATAATATCTTGTTTTTCCAGTTGTCCTTGCCAGGCTGAGTCAATACTGCACTGCTGTCTAAATCTCCAGCCCACTGATAATGAAATGCCATGCAGGAGGTCAATCTGTAATAAGAATATGCCAAAATTGTATTCCATCAACAATCTGGTCCTGTTTATTTTCTAAATTTTAATTTGTTCTTGACTTACTAACAACAATTTCAGAGAAACATCAAATGTTATTTTTCAAAGTCAGGCACATTGGTAGAACATTCAAACATACTTTGATGACTACATTGATAAAACTCCCTACAAACCTTAGAACCATAATGAACTTCCAGTGCCAAGTCACTCAATATTTTGCTCTGCTTTTTTATCCTCTCCTCCAGTTTAGTAGATCGGGATGTTTGTCCATTTGCTAAACGTCCAGCCAGAGTTGATGTTGACTCTGGGGGCTTAATGCAGCCAGTGAACACTTTAAGCTGTGGTACATTAGTGCAACTGCCTTGTGTGCAAAAGGTTTCTGTTGCCAGCATCACATTTTGTGTTTTGCTTGTAGTCACAGATCCAGCTCCACTTCCAGCAGCAATTTCTCTTGAAAAAGTGGAATTTACCAAAGTTCGGGCAAAGAACAAACATAGACTAGCCCATGAAAATTGTTCTGCACTTTGGCCAGGGTCTCTAAGTTTGTTCCCAGCAATTACAATCAAAATAAGGGCTTCAGCTGAAATAAAACTCCTGGAGTTTCTGTCCAGATAAATATCATTGTCTGTCAGCCCGTATTGTTTAAGCATTTCTTCTATTTGTTTATATGCTCCTTTTTTGCACTGTTTCTCATTAAAATAGCCAAAAGGACTAAGTCCCTTACGAGCATCCAGAAATATTTTTGAGCCAACTGTTTTAACTGGAGAAGACATGGGCCAACCAAAATCTGTGGTGTTCATTGCGTAGAAGTATTTCTGGAAATAAATGTGGGAAAAAAAATTACCAAAAAGCTTCAAAATATCTTTGATGGAAACACAACTAGGGAGAATAAAGAAATTTACCAGCTTTTCAACAACTTTACTTCTTAAGATTTATGTCCAGTAAACGTAAAAGCAATGTCGTATTTGGAGTATAAGTTAAGGGAAAGCTAATTTCGAAAATGCGAGGTCTTCAAATTATCAGAACTAAACTAACAGAATAATGTATGGAAAACCAAAAGCAAAACTACAAACCATCGGCAGTCCGAATGAATGTAGGTTGTGTCGCCCCATTGCCTTGTCGCCCCAGGTTATGTCGCCCCAACCGAAGTTACGTCGCCCCAACATCGGAGTTGTGTCGCCCCAACATATTAGTTGTGTCGCCCCATCATCAAAATCATGTCGCCCCATCGAAGTAAAGTATTAAGTTTAGCTGACTCGCTTGCCGTCATTTCAAAATGCACCTGTGTACTGTGAAGATGATAAATCTACTTCGAACATTTCGGCTTACTTCAGGATTTTATTTCAATAGTTTGATGTAAAGCATGCTTAAAATGAAGTCATGTAACATTAACTAACCTTTCATTCGTGTTTTTATATCAAAAGGTGCTTTAATAGAGGAAAGGGCAATCAAAAAACTTCACAAAACAAGCGTAAAGTTGGAGTGTCTCGACTCACTTTCTATAACTAACTTAACGAATTGTTTTAAGCGCCTCTCGGCCCAACAAGTAATGAACAAGCCTTGAGAAGTTGTCTCGCCGTCTTGTCGCCCTCTTCATATTGTCCCCACAGTGAAAATACCTTAGCCTGGATTTGACGATACCTGCGCCGCTGAACTCGTCGAAGTTTCTTTTCTGAGACCATACGCACGTTCAGGGAAGTTAGTTTGGCTTCTTTGTAGAGCAGGTCGATAAGTAAGTACATGGGTAGCTGGCTCTTGCCCTGGGCTCTGGTGTGCAGACCGAGCTGCCAACCTTCCACATCATTGTTGGTCCTGACCGACTGCATAAAGACTGACCAAGAGAATGGCGGCCAGGTGTTGCTTTCGATCCAGGTGCTCGATACGTAGTCGGTGAAGTGGCGAAGAGGTGCTGTGTTTGCTGTTTGCTGGAGGCGCTGGAACTGCGGCCTGATGTCTTCTTCTTGATGATGATGATCGTTTATTCAGCCTTCTTGCAGTAGAAACTGAATTACAAGGCGGGTCATAATTTACAAATACTTCTACATTATGCATACATAGAACTATTTTAGATATCAATTAAATATAAATATTCAATATTGTGTAAACATTAAATACTATAAGTAATAAGATAAATTGCAGTTAAGTATATTACACATGATTCTGATATTTAATAGTACAAAAATTTCCAAATCTAACAGATCTTGAGGAGGTAGGTACAGACACAGTTCTTCCTGCCCTAAGGGCATATTGTCTTGAAAATTGACATCGCGGTACTATATTTCGTAGTAGGTCAGAAGAGTAGTAACTCCGCTTAAGGAAAGCGAGGAAGGGTAGAGCCATGACCTTTCGTATGAAAGCATGGGTGCCCCGATCCTCCCTGTGCGAAACCTGGAGGCCAAGCTCTTGCACCTAGAAAAATTAAAGGAAGAGGACTTGTTTTAAAGGAGCTACGTCGCCGTTCATTGATTTTGAAAAAAAATTGTCATGATTTAGGCTATCGAATAAATGACTCAAAATATTGAGACGTAGCTCCTTTAAATTTATTTGAAAGTACACAACCAACAAACACACTCAGAGTCAATTAAATTGTGGCCTCAACAAACGGCGATATTTTTAAACTTTATACGGCATTAACAAATAATAAACAATAGATTAAATTGTGGCCTTCAAAAACAACTAATGACGAAATTTTTTAGAGAAAACAAGAATATACTAAATAATGGTAAGTGACACTAACCTTCCTCCACAGGGCTTGAGTCCAATGGAAGACGCACCCCAGTAGTTTGACGTCTGGGAGCAGTTGTCGAAGTACCTTCCATACTGCACACTCGAAGTCTAGCGTGACTTGTCGTAGCGCTGAGGATGGTAACAGCTCTAGTAGCTCTCGGAAAACAGCTCTGTAATCACGCTTCCGTTTGCCCGACATAAGGACAAACACCAACGGCACCTGCTTGACGTAGTCAACTGCCTTTACGAAGGCGTTGACTGTTAACAGCTGGGTAAACGGCTGACGGTACAGCTTGAAGGTCGCATCCACGTACCAGCTTTTTGCTCTGTTGAGTAGGTCGAGTTGGTGTCGTTTCGCGAAAATCAAATGACGGCGTCCACCAACCTAGTTAGAAAACGAATGCCATAATTAACCTACTGTAAACTGCCGCATAATGATTACAACACTGCTCCAGTCCGTTTAAAAGATCTTTGTTGTGAAACTGTAAACGGTCTAAAATTAAAAGGATGGTTTTAGGATTTAATAAGTAAATTAATCTATTGAGCAAACAGATTCCATAAAGATTTTGTGTTGTGAAATTGTAAAAACAATAAAAAACGGGTGGTTTTCGAAATAAGTTACATCGAGTTACATCGTAATAATCTTACAAACTTTTCCTTCGATCGATCGATAAATCTTACAGCAGTGTTATGTTTATGTTATAAATCGATCGTTCGCGTGAAGTAACTTTTTACAAGCCGCTCGCTCGAGTTACATCGAGTACATCGACTTACTAACTTTTCCTTCGATCGATCGATAAATCTTACAGCAGTGTTATGTTTATGTTATAAGTCGATCGTTCGCGTAAATCGATCGGAGAATCTTACAAACTTTTACTTGATAAGCGAAGTTGCGCGTTTGGGCGACGCAACTTTGATGTTGGGGCGACACAACTCCGATGTTGGGGCGACGTAACTTCGATTGGGGCGACGTAACCTGGGGCGACAAGGCAATGGGGCGACACAACCTGACACCGTCCGAATGTTTATTTACATTAGGTTAAAATGACACAATCCGATGGTGCGATCACATTTAGCGATCTCTCTTCGAGGAAAGCAATTTCGTTTATGTTCGTAGTAAACATTTATGGTCGAAAAAATTTAAAATCAAAAACATTCACTCACCTTGATAGAGCTCCAACGTGGACAGGATTGCTCGCGATCGCGTGGTTAGTATAAGCTTACGGATGAACACTTCACGCTCTTTTGATATGCAAACGCGGCCCTCGCTCTTTACCGACGAAAAGAGCATTTCTTCACTTTGAAACAATGCTAATTGCTCCAATTGTATCTCCATTGTCTCTAAACGGACGCAAAGCGAAATTTTACAACTCCCGTTTGGGAATTTGTCAATTCAGATCTAAAGCGACCGAAGTTGGCGGTGAGCGTTTGCAACCTCATTCCTAGGTCATTGCGCCCGCAAAGCATCATGGGTACCCCACTTTTCTCGGGCGATGCTTTTCAATGGGCGCGATTCCGTAATGAATTTTTGTGTTTTAAACGCTTTAGCACCAGACCAAAGGATCATAAGCTTCAAAGCAAGTCCAGTGGTTGAATTAATGCAACAGTTAAGGCAAGCAGAACAACACAGTGACATATTGCTGCTCCTTGATAACGTCGATAAATTTGCAGGAGGAGATGATGAAGTTTCCGCTTCTCTTAATGTCAATTTTTTGATGTTTCTGCAAGGACTTCTAGGTCCAAAGGATTATGCGGGGAAATCGAAATTGAAGCTTTTGTTGACATCAAGATCAACACTTCGTCACGCAAAGTTGGCCAACGTTGACAATTACGAAGTTATGGCCTTAGAGAAAGCTTCATCATGTGCTCTATTCCAGAATCAGAGAATTGGTAGCGTTCGAGAGGGTCAAATAGAGAAATTACTGCAGATATGCCAAGGGAATCCCCTCATCATTAAGGGAATGGCAGCAATCTTGAGGCAACAAATAGTCGATGACACCAGGATTCTGGAAACGATTAAGCAGCCACTAGCAGCCAAGCCACAAGAGTCGGGAATACCACCAGCAAAGGAGAGTGGAGGGAGAGACGTATTCAACTCTGAAAAGGAAGGCATCGATAAAGAGCAAGAAAGCTGTTTGAGGAAAATTTTTTTCTTCTTGCCAAGTAAACAGTTAAAAGATTCTGCCATTTCGATGTCACTGTTCTGTCGCTCTTTCTCTGTCGAAGCAGCAGCCGAAGTCCTTGAAGTGGACTCGTCAGAAGCTGTTATACAACTAGAAGGTCTCAGGAATAGTGAAGTACTAACGGTAGACCCTGACGTGAAAGAACTCACCTATGACATCCACCCTTTGTTGCGAACATTTCTGAGAAGCATTGGTAGTAACCAAAAGGATGTTCGTCAAAGTTTACGAGAAGGCAAAAACCAGGTTTTGTAAATATTTCATGTCCAAAATGGTACACATTTCCGGGCTTTTGGACAAAGACTACATGAATGCCTTCGATAATTTTGATCTTGACAAACCAAACTTTGAACTTGCTTTGGATATTTCTTTCAAGTTGGACCATCTTCTTATCCCAAAAGAGCATCGTGAAAGTGTTATGATCTTTTATCTCTTCGAGGCCATGTTAGACGAAAAAGCAAGCAAGAACATTTTTAATTGCTGGGCCGAAAAGGTCAAGGAAGATGGAAAGGAAGGTGAAGTCTTAGTTTACGTAGGAAGTTTTTCTGGATACTTTGGTAGTATAACTTAGCCGTCGACCTGATGGAAAAACTAACAGACGAAATTGACTCCATTCGACTGACAGTGACAAATTACTTGACTCTGGTGGTGACTTTAGCTCAGGTTGTCGAAACTTCAGTCACCACTGCCGACAACAGTCCTTCTCAGGACTTCACTCAACCGGACGATCATAGTACACAATTAAAGCTATTGAGCGTAATCGGATCCTTTCGGTAAGGAGCTTTCCTCCTTCTTATTTTGTTCGAATCTGTTCAAACGCCCAAAGAATCCTTCACAATGAAGTTATACGGGGTATATGCACTAAGATTCGGTATATTTTTTCTCAGTTTTGTTGACCAGGCCCAACAAGGTCGTTTGTCGCAATATACACATCTTTTTTTATAATCTTATAGAGGGTAACTTCCTGAATTGGGTCAGGGTTTGAAGATGCATATGCGTCCCTACCCAAACTTTCCTTAAACATTCCTGAAGTTAACTCTCATTGACTTTCTAATGGGAGATAAAAACAACGCTCTCTGGTTAAGAATGTGCATAAAACTTAGAGGGAGAGAGAAACTTGTTTTCCTTGTTGTCTTTTTAGGTTCCTTGCTTCGAGCAGAACTTAAATGCCACGAAACATTGATGGTTCTTAAACTTGAGGGATGGCAGAGAGCATTGACAGTCGCGAGGAGAGCGAAAGAGTTACTTAGCAAAGTGCAGAAGGAAATTAAGAGCAAAGAATCCTTTAGGTTGACCAAGAGTTCTTACCTGTTCTCTAGGGGTGAAGTTTATTATAGAGCTGGGAATATGGCCAAGTCACTGAGGATTTTGCACAAGGCGCTGAAGATAATGGAAAATATACTTCACAGCCACACAAGCACTTCAAGGTGCTTAAACGCCATTGGAAACTGCTACAACAAGCTAGAAGAACATGACGAGGCCATGAAATACTACATGAGAGCATATGATATCAGACGACACCTTTCTGGCTCAATGAAACATTTTGACATGCCCCTCTTCAAACGACAGATCGGGACGGTTTATGAAGGAAAGAAAAAATTTGAAAAGGCAATCGAATGCTACAAAGAGGCCTTAGAGCTCGCCAAGAAACTAAAAATTCCAGGCATGGTTGACATTGCGCTGTACAATCAAAACATTGCTAACGCGTACTGTTGGTTGAGAAACTTTGAAGACGCCTACCAACCTGCAAAGAACGGTTACGAGATCCGGAAGGTCATTTTGGGAAGGCACCCTCAGACTGCTCGAAGTGCTTTCCAAATGGCGCAGATTTGTCGAAGCTTGAATGGCTTTAACGAAGCGGAAGAGTTTTATGAAGAAGCATGGGAGATTGAGAAGTCGCTGGGCCAAGGAAACCACAGCGAGGTCATGGTCAGAATCGTTGAGAGCTACGAAGCGATCCTTCTCAAAGGAAAGAGGAAAAATCAGTTTCGACAAGAAGCACTCGACTTTTATCTACGCTACTGGGACGAAGAAAAAGCCTTCGAAGGTTTTGAATTTTCTTTCGCCAACAAGAGAATTATTGATTCAATAAACGAAAGGTTTAGTGAATTTGGCGACCGGCAAACACAGAAGAGATGCCAAAAAGAAGCTCTATGGTTTTATGAAGGCGCGTGGAATTCACCCGACACGAGAAAGTTACCAGACACCGCCAGAGAGGAAATTCTGCAAACTCTTTGCAGTCTCTGTGCCCAGCTTCGCGAGAAAAGTAAGGTCGAAAAGTACAGTAACGAAGCCTTTTCATTTCATGAAAAGAAGTGGAAAAGAAATAAGGAAGGGATGTCAAAGCACGACAGAATCGCCATTCTCACCACTCTTGTACACATGGCTACATCACAGGTGAAAGAGAAAAAGAAACAGAAGTATGAGAGTTTGTTGAAGGTATGACAAAGTTCTTTAACCTATCAGTGTATGACATCAACATAAACGGATTTTAGCCGGTTTGGTATGTATGATAGTGCGATCGTTAACTTTCACTAGTTTTCCACTCAGTAGTTGGTTAAACCTAGCAACCTCGCGAAATCTACCTAGCTAGTCTCCTTGTGGAAATGATGTATCCCTGACTTGCCAAAGGCGTTGTCCTTACATTCAGTTGCCCAAGAATGCTACATTATTCTTCGTGGCTCAAGAACATTTTGCTTTTCATCAGCCCTTTACGTTACTTAGATTAGAATTAATGGCGATTATCTGAACTTTTTCGCATTTTAATGCTCCCTCAGGAAGCCAGACAGAGCGAAACCTTGATCGGAAGAATGAAAGAATTCCTTTCTTCAGGAGCAAAAGGTATTTGATGAAGGAAAACTTTGACCATAAGTCAAACATATATTAAATAACGAAAGACACACGCGTTCTCTCGATAACATTAGTTAAAAACGCCTTCAAGTTCGCTTATTAAAAAACGTGATTAACCAGGTTTTTTTTGATAAGCGTACTTTCAGGCGTTTTTTTACCAATATGTCCGAAAGAACGCGAGTGTCTTTAGTTATTTATCTACATGGTTGATGTTTTGTAAAGTTCGTCATTCCACGAGGTGTGGGCGAACAAAGATTTCCTCTTATTGTTTTTTAAAAGTAAGATTTGCTTTTTATTGGCGCAATCTTTTTAAAACAAAAAACTGTGTTATATTTTAAGCTGAACAGCTGTCCAGTGAGGACGATGACGATGACAATGAAGTTGACATTCCTTCCGATGATGATGATGATCTCGATAGTAGCAGTGGCAGCGAAGAGATTCCAGAGGCTAGTGGGCAAGTGCAACAACCAACAATTCCAGAAGAAGATGGCGAAGAATTAGAAAGTGAGCAGGAACAAGATCCAGATAGGATAAAGATACGCGAGTAAGTGGAAATGAATGAGTCGCTTGCGTTTGCGCAAAGATTTCTGAGATCGCCACGGGGCAAACATTGCAAGTTGTTGTAAAGAAATATATGGAGAGAGATCGATGCTTTTTCGCCGAATTTTTATCATAAATGAATTAGATAATGTTAATACGAGGGAACTGTTAGTTTTCGTCGAAATTACCACGAAATCATGTTATAGAATATACCGATATTCTCTCCTTGCCTAAGGTCTATTATGAAGTCGTCGTCGCTTAATGGTCTCGACATTGTACAAAATTAGCCATAAATCGCTAGGAAATAACTCTTTTAAGTCTTTTCAGTTTTATTTATGGATGTACGGTCTGTTTTCATACGTGTTAACGTATTAAGTAAACAAAATTACGACGTCCGAAATATACCTCCTCAACGGGGAGAAGTCGTTGGCAGCAGACAAGGAAATCATTTTTACCGAGCTGTTGCTTTTTGGAAGGATGAAGTAAGTGATGACGTGGGGAGAAACACGAGACGTTTCTCCTACACTTCTTTCGTGCTCTAGCCGCTTCTTGCGTGTTTTACAACAGAACAGAGCACAGTCAAGGCTTCTCTATTTGTTGGAAAGAAGAAAAACTTTTCCTGAGAACAATCAACCATGACGGTCACACACAATTGAGAATTTCGGGATTGAGTGAAAATGGCTATTTTGAATGCTGTTCATAAAATTTTTAAGCAGAATGTTATTCATTCTCTTACTTGAAGAGATAACTGAGATACAAATTTCACTAAAATTTTTCAAAACCAACAATTCATCAGGAAAAAGTACACCTACACATATTTAGAAGAAGCATTGCTTCACTGAGTTAAGTACTCACGATTCGTGATATTCGGAAGCGTTTCAATTAGTCCGGTTAAGTAAAACTTTTTTAACTTCTTCCCCAATATCCGTTTCGCGTTATTTAAACGCTTATAGACCTATAAAAAGTGCATCTCAGATTGCTCAAAATTTATTCATTAAATGTAGTATTGTTTTAGTTTAGCATCACTGCAGAGGGTAAATAACTATTCAAAAGGAAACCCGATTCTGCTGTATATTCACCCAGAAAAAGGTTACAAAATACGTCGTTTCGGCCTTGCCCAGCGAAGTTGACTGTATCTTCGTGATTTGACTTCGAGTGTCCACCCTCGAGCATAAAATACCAAAATGTTGTGTTTTCCATGAGTTTTCACTAATGGAGCCAGATACAGACAGCCATTTTGTGCAGTTCGCAGAACCACATACGCGTAAGACTCGAGAGCGAAAACTCAACCATTTATTTACAGGTATTCCGATGAAAATTCCAGAAATGTTCCAGTAATCAAACTCAATAAACATCCAGTCGGGCAATAAGGCAGTTTTTCTACGAACAGAAATTACTCCTTAACCGAGCCAAATTACAATACACGTAAAATACGATAGAACTTACCGACTTTTGTGAGTTTACAGTGACCCTAGCTCAACAATTTTGGTTACCAAAATATGCCAGTACAGGCACGGCGACTGGTTCTTATTCGACAAAGGACGTGGCCGATATCCCGGTGATGGCATCAAAATGTAGGCACGCAGTGGGAACTACAAACCAGCTAGCTCCGCATCAAGATGGTCCATCATTGAAGTTGATGAGACCGAGTTTGAAGAGCTGTAAAACCGTCTTGAAAGAGAAATTCACTTTACATTCAAGAGGGAACATGATCAGCGTTTCCACTCAAGCAAAGGCTTGATAAATGTAATTTTGTGTTTATTTCAGAAGTAAAATTGCACACGAGTCAGAGACCTGGAATCTTGCAGAAGCTGGTGCATCCATCACATTTAACCTCGGAGCGTTAACAAAGTCCTTGACCATAACATGTTCATTATGGAGCCCCGCAGCCCTCTCTCCGCCTATTGGTAGTAATGAGCTCTTGGTAAGCAATGTGATTGAACTGTCTCATGATGGCCCACCTGATCTGGAATTCATGGAAAATGCTTCGGGAAGCATAAATGTGGCTTTGTTGCACAGTGCCTCTAACTTCAAAGGATACGAGGTGGTTATCAAGCATTTGGTTGACCCCCAATACAACGAGTGGGAGGATTTGGAGACAAAAAACGTTTGGCATTCGTCAGGTACTGAAATAATAAATTTTACCGATGAGATCCATACACAAGTATCATTCCATATACTTCTTGCTAATTTCTCAATTCCTAGTTAGGGTCATTTAAGGGAGGTGGGGAGCCGGCTTAGTGGTTCGTGCACTTAACTCCAGATCGACATTTATAGTTTCAAGGTGGTGTGTTCTCGGGCAAAACTAGGAATGGATTAGAATGGCAGCATGGAGATTCTCCCATACAGACCTCCAGCTTGGTTAATAGGGACTAAGGAATAATTAAAACGAATTACACCTGCAGGAATGTTATTAACAGTATCTTTACCTCAGACTTCCCGCTCTGTGACAAATATTGAAGTAATAGCCATAACCAATAATATCTATTTTAGCATTACTAATAATATTATTATGTTATAGTAAATCCAACCGTTCCCATTTGGACGTGCCCTTTCGCTGAAGCTGCATGCTCAAAAACGTGGTTTTCCACGTTTGCAGCAGTCTGGCGCCTCAAGTCTTTTGTCTTTCCTAAGCTTACGTCTGAGACCTCTGAGTTTATCTGTCCACTGCCAGACTATCCAAATGTTAGTGGTGCAATTCCATGGAGTTCTTTGCCTACCGATAGAGACTTTTTTTTAACTCTTAAGGTATTTATACCCTATGTTGCATTTGTAAGAAATAAGTAAGATGATGATGATAATGATAAAATTTATTTTCACCTTTATTGTTATCATTAATATCATTAATACAATATCTATCATTTATTTCATAAGAATTTATTAGTGATGAGAAAAAAAACATGCTAAGAGGGTGTTAAATTGATATAAAAGCAAATGCTCTGATCTAAATTACGGTCGATAACGGATTTTATGAAAAATAACATGTTAGTATGTTCAGAGTGCATAGATTTCAGCTGAGAAAAGAATGTTTAATCAAATCTATTTAATGGCCCTATTTTATTTGGGAAACTACCGGTAGCTAACAAGAGTACCTTGGGTTAACATAAATTTCTGATGTGATTATGTTGGCTCTTAATTTGAGGTGCAAGAGGCGCCAACCATTGACCACAATGTAGGTGGAATGTTTGTTGGTCCGATTCTTCACATTTCGTGCTCACACGATGTGAAGCTGTCAGCGCCAGCAAAAATCAGCTTCCCGCTGGTACTCACGGACAGTGAAATAGAGCCAGTGGAGCTGCGTTCAGGTCAGTTGAAGATACTACATTTCACGTCAACAGAGAAATCACAAGAATGGACTGATATCACAGATCATATGGATATAGTCCTAAGAAATGGAATAGTGACGTTCCAAGTCAAAACTTTCGGCCGGTAAGATAAAGATGTAGACCTATTTTGCTAGCTGTTTACATTTTTTTTTTTACATTTATTGAAGTAAACCATTAGTTTTAGAAACGCGATGTCCGCTTTGCAACTGTTATGAAACTCCAAATTTCGTCAGTTCTTATGCTGTGGGTTTGAATATGATAATAAGTGCAAAAGAGCACTGAAAAGTAACATCGATCGATTAATCAATGTACTCAAAGTACATCATACGCCTGGTTTTTGAGATATTTTGATTCCACTGGCGAGTGACTTAAAAATAGGAAGCATCCAGTAAAAATTCTAAGGAAGTTGAAAAACAAAGATGCTTGACGCCAATTTTATCGCAACAACTGCTCCTCATATGTACCAAGGTGAGGTATACCTACTTGTGAGTAAAAGAACCATCCCCCCCCTCTGCCCTCGTCCTCCACCCCCTCCTTCCCTCCTTCTCCTTTCTCAACATTGGGTGAATCCCTTGAGCTTCTCTAAGTTATTAAAGCTGGCTTTAAAATTAAAAGTTCTCACTGAAAAAAGTTTCTTCTCAAGAGGCCAACACGCTTTCTAATAAGTGTAGATGCGTCTTAAAACGTGTATTTTTTGGTTCATGACGTGTAGAGTTTTCTGCCATTCTCTTTCAGGTTTTGGCCCTGGTTGATAAAGACGTCCGCTAGCATTCCACGGAAATATGCCTCGCTCCTATACGAGAGAATCATGAAACGCCACGTTGGGTTTTTAGCTTGCTTATGCAAGGATACAGTACCCTCGACATACTTGCTGGAGTTGTTTTGTTTCCCGCAGCATTTAAGATCTGGAGTGGATAACTATATATCCTCAAGATATTTTGTGACTTTGCGTAGAGAAGAAACCTCGCAGAAACCTCTGTCGAGCGGTGATGAGACATATGTTTCTCTTTCAAATGGATTTGAAGTGCATGGGGCGGGAAATGCAAAGGACATCGTCTTAAAGTAAGGACCAGCCCTGTTACGTTTTATCGGTCCATCATCATCATCCGCTCATTTGTAAAATAACGTGAAAAGACATTGATCCTCTGCCTCTCAGGCATGCTATATTGACCAATAGTAATGATGGAATGGTGCAGTAAGCGCAAATAATTAGAATCTTCTCCTCTTAATCAAAAAACCTAGAGATTCATCTGTGACTAAACAGTGACTAAAAGAAGGGTTGAGAAAGCGGCAATGGCCCTCGATCTTAAGATCACAAGTCTGTTACACATTCAAATTATCCATTCTAACCTCTTACCTTAATAAAGCTCAGACTCTTAGAGAAATTTAAACTTCAGTACTGTAAAGTTAAATAGGTTCCTTAAGTATGTGATTCCTTCATTAAGTTCGACCGAGAAGAAACCCAAAATAACTTGACGGGTGTTTTTTCCGCTAGCAAAGATGCATATTTAAGTGATTTGCTAAATTCGCTCTTCCGGAAATCTAAGAAAAAAGTTGTTATTCATCTAAACTTTTGTTCCCTTTTTTGTGCGAGGTTTCTTGGTGACAGACGTCTTCAGCGAAGTCTGCTCGTTAGCATTAAAGACCCGAGTGATCTGCGTGTCCACTTTCTGCAGGGCAGGGAGAGAGAGAATTCCCCAATGATATGTCAAGAGCCCATCATTCCAAGATCTCCAGTACAGGTATTTACGATACTGCTGTTTAAATGCATAAATCTGCCTTTTCATTCATTTAAAAATATTATGTGGATGAGTAAAATTGTACTTATGTCGTAAATCGCTACGCTCAAACGAGGTTCGTTGTTTTGACCCAAAATCACCAGAACTCAACCAAACAGTGTGTTTATAGTGAAATATCCAATATTTTATTGAAGTATAAGGACGATTATAATGTAAGGTAAAGTCAAAGAGTTATACTTGTAGCTTTTTGTCTAGGCTTTCCTCGACATACATATATTTGGCGATCATCATCGTCCAACTGCCTTGCAACTCTGACAGTTTTTCCACAAATAAATTTAAGCTGTTCCGAATATTGGATGTTAGTCATAATACTCCGCTGAAACATACGTTTTGGAGGCCGCAGTCTTCCGAGATGAAACTTAGGGTGTACCTGGCGGTATCCTTGTGAAAAACATGTGGCTGCACCCATATATTTTCCAGAGACACTAATTTGGCGACAGTGATCCATTGATATAAATATGTTTACCCTTCCTGTAAACATTATTGCTTGCTAATGTTTCCTATACGCTTTATATGAAATTTAACATGGCTGGGATAAGCTTTGCTGTATTCATTTTGCCAAAAAAAAAAAAAAGAATCAACAAATACTCAAGAAAATAAAGCGGCCACACTAGGATCCGGCCTTCCGATCCTTTGATGAAGTTTTATTTAAATACCAGTAGTAATCTCAGGGATGATCATCTTACGAAATAAGAGTCATGTCGAAAAAAATAAGAGTTTGTATGGGAATAATTACGACCGCTCTTAGGGTTAAAAAAAAAGGAGTAGTAAACTTAGATATGGATAACTCGCCAAAATCGCCTAGTTGCAACATACGGTTTAATCTAACCGACAGAAAAACACTACAATCTTACAAACTCTACTACTTTAATAAACAGTGAGTAATGTTCTTAACAAGAAGCGACTCCCAAAAGCAGTACATTGCTTATCGTTAATCAACTTAATTAAGCTCACAGTTTATATCCTAGTTCACCACTGACACAATCTCACTGCTGCCTCCAAAGCTTTTAAAACAGTCGTCGCTCCGACAGCAACAACTACTATTACCACTACATAAGCAAATCTTCATATATATTCATAAAGTGTTCTGGAACATTCCAGAAGCTTACTTAAGAGCTATTTTAGTAGTATCACATAATAAATACGTGACTTGATGAAATGTTCTGGAAAGTTCTACGGTATGCAAGTCGGCATGACTCAACAGTCTGGAAATTTCTAGCAACAATTATCCACAACACAATGCACTGTGAAAGTAAAGTGGGGTATTTTTTATTGAGAAATTGACTGTATTTTTTTATTCCTTAGGGAGGTCGTTAATATTCTTCTACAAACTGTTACATTTTCGGTATTACTCTTGTAGCCAGAGTAGACGTAATTTTGGCGAGCGAGTGCTCGGCATTTTCTTGACGAAAATTTTGGCACCACCCTTGATTTTAATGGCAGCAGAACGCTGGGGAGAGAAATAAATTTGTACCAAGGGGGCGGTCGACGGTCAAAAATAAGGAGAGGGGTGGGGGTGGGGGAAGCGTAGATAACGCTTGCCTGAAGTCATTACTATTTTGCAAACTCCGTTCGCCCACGACCGGAGTTCCTGATTAGTGCGGTTAAGCCCCAGTTGTCAATCACAAGCCAAATGTGTCATTTGAGCGTCATTCTAACATTTCCTTCTTGCGAGAGAAAGATCGAGAAAGAGAAAGAAGGCGAACTCTGATTGTGAATTAATTAGTTTCGATTCCGCTCTTGAGGAAGCACTTAAGTGTCTTTCGGAATTTAATATGTCTCGCGCATTAAAATCAGAACAAAAAGAAACAATTTCTACACTGGTTTCTAAAAAAGAGTTCCTGGCCGTGTTGCCAACTGGCTTTTGGAAAAACCTGATATTTCAGGGGTTGGTTCTTATTAAAGAAATCATGACGGGAAACCTTCGAGCGTAGTTGTCGTTTGTCCGCCTCAAGTTTTTGCTTATGATCAAACGGAATAATCTCCTTCGATCAGATTAACGGTAGCTACACCCACGGGTTGTCATTTGGAGGATATAGCGGCAAATATCAACTCGTATTCGCGTCAGCAGATAACGTTTTGGTGAAGCCATTTTTTTCCGTTTATGAAAAAACAGCCACACCGTTGCACCATAGTATGCCGGTTTGCATTAACGAAATTATGGCGGGTAAACCCTCGAGTGCAATTGTTTGTTGCTATACTCAAGGATTTTCGTTCGGAAATACCGAGTTCAGCTAATATCAGCTCATAATTGACCACGGACGAGATTTTGTCGAGGCAGTTTATTTTCTGGCTAAAAAAAAAACTGCCTCACCGTTTTCTTTTCAACAGCCTCCTCGGGCAGGTGTCTTTTCGCGCTCCCCAACCCCCTACCCTCCTCCCCCCTTTTTGACTACAAATCAAACGTGGCCGGTCGGAGAAACGATCGCGAGCTTACAACGTTAGCTCGCACTAATAAGACGCCGGCACTGCAGGCTATGACTGTTATTACGCAAAATGACCATCTCACAGCTGGGCTGCCTGTGCAATAATCTATCTTTTGTCTCTAGTCAAACTGCACAGATCTGTATTTGCTTCCTGTAGTCCAAGAAGATAGCATTGCACGTCAGCTCATTTACAACATTTCAGAATTGTAGCCTGTGAGCTTCTCAAGGTGTTTTTCCTTCTTGCAGGTGTGTCGTCCATCTGGGTTCGTCCTTCCCTCATCAGAAATTCAAAGAGCTCAGGTTTGTTGCTTGTTTATTCATTTATTAAATATGCTTATTTATTCTTTCATTCCTTTCTTCCTTAAATTCTCTACTGTGTTATTCCTTTAGTTGGCCATTTAGTCTTATGACTGGCTAGTTCGTTCTATTTTTGACCATGGCTATTGAATTGAAACCCTTTTGGTATTGTGGCAACTTTCTTTTTATAAAAGCAGTGTTTCATGGAAAAATCAGAGTCAAAGTCTGACTGTTGTCTGTCGCAATATTGCAGGAAATGCCTCGGTCAAATCGAAACATTCAGTCCTCGGTGGACGCGGATTCACTTCACGTGCACAAGAAGAAATTACATGTCACTCTTCTAGCAACTGAATGGTGTTCGGCAAAGGGTGGTTTGTCTACTATAAACAGAGTGCTCGCCAAACAGTTTTCATCGAGTCCCAATGTAAAAGTCACTTTGTTCGTTCCTCCATTTGAATGTGAATGTAAGGAAAAAGACAAAGCAGAAGCTTTTAAATGCGATATTAATATTGAGGAAGCAGACGGAAAAATGTCTAACTCCACAGACCCCCTCAACTGGTTGGCATTTCCCCCGGAGAAACTCCACATAGACGTTGTTGTTGGTAATGGTTGGAAGCTTGGTTGGCAGGCAGAGAAAATCAGGAGAAGCCACTCCTGTAAGTGGGTACAGATGGTCCACACATGCCCCCGAAGAACTTGCCATGCATAAAATCTGTGACACACCTCTCTCCAGAGGTGAAGAAAAGCATGCGTCGGAAGTTTCCTTGTGCGAAAAGGCCGATCTTGTTGTTACCATTGGACCCAAATTAAAGGAAGCTTTTGCTAAGTCCCTCCGCCATTGCGAAGAAGAAAAATCTGTGTTATCGATAACACCAGGTGTCTTTTCTGAATTTGAGTGTGTGAAAACCTCTGCTGCTGATTTGGAGAAGTTTTACATTTTAGTTTTTGGCCGTTGTGATCCAAAGGATTTGTCCATAAAAGGCTATGATACTGCGGCAAAGGCCGTTGCTATTTTACCCAGTAGGTCATATCACCTTACCATCATGGGTGCAACCGCTAACAATCAACGAGAGCTTGTTGATATTTTAGTCAGTTGTGGTTTACCGCATTGTCAGTTTGTTGTAAGAAAGTTTTGTACAGATCGGGAACACTTAGTAAAATTGTTTTCGCAGTTTGATCTCGTCCTCATGCCATCAAGAACAGAGGGGTTCGGTTTAACTGGCCTTGAGGCCTTGTCTGCTGGTATTCCCATTCTTGTGAGTGGAAACTCAGGATTTGCTGAAGCCTTGAGAAAAGTGAAATTTGGTGAATTGTATATTGTAGAAGATTTTGAGGATGCTAATGAATGGGCAAAAAAAATCAAATCCATTCGACAGAAAGAGCGGCGATTGAGATTTGAAGAGATTCGACAACTAAGGACATTCTACAAAGACAAGTACAACTGGGAGAGTCAGTGTCAAGACCTTGTGGCGACAATGTCAAACATGGTGTATGGTATGATTTAGTTTGTTTTTTATCTATTTGTTCGACGGGGAGGATTTATGCAACACAGACCGTATCAAACTTCAGTCTGACACTATCATACCGTTGTTTTTGTGATGCAAGAGAGTAACAATAACGATTGAGATTTGAATTACTTGAGAATTCTGGAACGAGCCAGGTCAAATCAATTTGCCGTCATAATTTTTTTTAAGTCCTCAAAACTGCACTTGCTAGTCTACCTCCCTTGTTTTCTTCCACTGGACTAGAATAACCTTAATGGTATTGATTCGTTCTCCTTGTTGTCTAGCTTAACCCTTGCGTCCAAAACTGGAAGAAGTGAAGACGAACACCAGATGGAATGCACTCATTATGGTAGTCGTGGTTGTGGGCGTTCTAGTCGCTTTCATTTCTCTCCTACTTCACAGAGGGCGAATTTGTTCCTGAAGTGTTCTTCTGTATTGGATTAACGTAACGTTTCCATTTTCAAACAAGTTTATAATGGACTTAAAATGCGTTTAGCTTTTAATCTTTTGAAAAATATTTCCTTTTACTAGATCAAGAGTTCGAGCAACACTTCTTTGGGAATTAGTTGCATAGATTTTGGTAATGATTTTTTTTTAACGAGAACGTATTAGCTGAGGAAGCCGTGAAAGAAACATAACTAGTTAAAATCCCGGAAATAGCAAACAAGAGATCCGCAACATGACTTACGGTGACGCAAAACGCATTTTAAATGGTGCTCCTGGAAATTTCTATAGTTCGTACGTTATCGAAAATTACGTAAGATGCCTGTGGCAGACCACGTTAAAAATTCGCTTGAGTGTTGTCGTAATCAGTAGCGCGCTTGTGCTTCTCACTGAAGTTTGGCTTCAGTCAGTGAGAAGCGCGAAAGAAGCCTGTTAGATGACTGCATATCCTGTGTTGATCATTTTTTTGTTTGTTTTTGTCTTTATTTCATTCCTGTACTCTAAGGAGACAGCATTAAATTATCATTTTCCACGTAAAACCTGAGTGACTGTAGATAACGACCAACGCATTCCACCTTAAGCCCTCGGCGTCTTCTAGCAAAACTCATGCATTGAACAAGAAATTTTCGAAGGAAACAACTAGTAAGGTATAGTTGTTGTGAATTGTGACAAGATCACCGATTAATATTTTTTTTTTCATCTAACCGATACCCTATTCGTCCAGGTTTATATCAGTTTTCGTCCGTTTATACAGTATCCTGCCAAGAAATGTTACTCTACTAGGCTAATTGGAATAAAATCTCTCTTACACGGACAGAAATTAAGAATTTTGCATCCGAATATTTCAATTGGGAATAATATTTAATATTTATATAATATTTATTTTAATGTCTCAAAATTGAGATTTGATAAGCATGAAAAATTCCCAGGTTTTAAAATTTGTTGACTAGGTGGACTGCGCTTGACTCACCAAAATTGGTTTGTGTAGAACCCCTTTACTCTTTAGGTCTGAAGTCAAGAGAAGGAAAGGAAGATGAATTTAGTCGGAAAGAGTTAAACCTTGTTGTCCATGAGAATTTTACAGAACCTTCGCCACTTGTTTATGATCAAAGTCGATCTATCATGGCGCATCGTACTCTAATATTCTATCTTTTTCTTCGTCTTGTTTCCCGCTGTTTCCTTGCTACTCCTAGAAGTCAGAGCGTTCGAGGCTGATCGGTTCGCCCAGCTAAAATTTCTCTCTAATAGAGGTACAACGGGGAAGTTCCAGGTCTTGCCATCGTTGTTTCCTGTCTGACAGAGCGCTAACGCACTGCTGCAACAAAGATTTACACCCAGTCCCACATCTTCTGTATGCTCCGTGGTGCCATTGGTCAGGTAGTAACGGTGAAATTGCTCGTATGGTCGACAGGGTTATGGCAAGTTCGAGTAAAAGATACCAAGAATTTGAAGTTGTGAAATAGTACGCCGCCCAATGGGTTTTCCTCTGTAAGCCTTCTTTGGCTGCATTGGCTGCATTTCCAAAGTCTTTTGGGTGATCTAACACCATGAAAAGCTTACCTTTGTGATGCAAAAAGATAAACTGAATATTCTTCACGTCTAGTGTCATGCAACTCAACAAGTTAAGAGCGTCATATATGTATAATTCTGAGACTTGCTGGAGGTTTTTCGAGGCCGTTAAGCATTTCAACTGACGCAGCAGTCTGACGTGCCTCGTTGCCCTGTGGGCCATTGAGGATTTTTGGTAAATTGGCAACTTTGCTTCTGATATAATTTTCATTCCTGTGCAATAACAGCCCGACCGCCGCCTTTTCGCCTGGTGCTTTTCATTCTCATCAACGGACATCCCGGTTCTCAGTTCGTTTAAGTGATTATTTCCCGAATCCCGCACCTCAAAATCGCCGATTCCCGTGTCCCGTTCATAATAGCAATCCCGCATCTCGCTTCCTTCTTACTTGAAATTCCCGGATTCCGGCCTTTAACCAAGTCCAGCCTCGGATCCCGAAAAACCTATTGGGGACCTTCTTCTCCCCTCTCTCATTAATCAATTGTAATTTGGTTTTTAAGCTGATGTTTTTTCTTACTGTTAATTTCATAAAACATGAAAAACGAAGGCAACTTTCCAATCATAATTTAAGTCCTGCTTAGGAAAAACTTACGTTATTTTAAAAGTTCTCCGAAGAAGCTGTTGAAAACTAATTAATGCTTCGTGGTACTGTGAGGTAGAATAAAATTGGGAGGGGAAGGAGCTGTTGGAAGGGTAGAAGGCCGAAAAAACTAGAACTTAACTATCAGACCCTTGGTAAGGGCATATAGCGACAACAATGCGTCCATCAATGGTTGGTGGGATCCTTCCTACCGTCCAGATATCTTCTTTATGGATTTGCGCGCTGAGCATCAGTTCGGCATCTTTGGTGTACATTTCCGCAATTATGAGGTCTTTCTCTACATCAGTACTCACGACGATGACATGTGCACCTGTTCCATGAAATCCAAGCTTAGCCGGACCATACCAATGTAAACGTTCCAGTTCAAACTTTTTCAGACGGTTGCCGTATTTGCTGAAGTGTGAACACAGGAATCTTCTGTGTCCACCACCATAACACGACCATCATTAGCAACTCTGATATCCCACAGATTCTTCAGTATTCCTTCTCCAAAACTGCAAACAAACTCTCCGTCATTGTCATGTTCCTCCAATGATGGAGGGACTTATTCCCTGTTTCACTACCTGACAGTCCTATGTAGTCGACTACTTCCCTCTGACGAAACCTGTAATTAAGATTAGCGGTTTGAGCAAGTCTATAAAACCACCAGGATTTCTCAGTCCTAGGCTTCTCAAAAGCAGTCAGCAAAAAGATGTTGCCTTTTACGTCAGTGGCTACATCCCAAATATTTGATCGTGAATTTACATTATCGGTAGGGAGACTAAAATCCCCATCAAACATTCCGCTGCTGTCAAACACTTCACGTTACCACTTGTATTTCCTACAATGAATTACCTAGTAGAGTTCGTAACGATACTTACCTGGTACTTACGCTTCTGTACCTCCTCACTCTCTTGACCAAGTAACCATGGTGCAACGCAACAGTGCTCCATGCCATGCCTACATGGAACTTTGCTTACCCTTTCGTCTGAAAGTAATTCTACCTTCTCTTTCCTAGTGTCAACAACACAAGCAGAGCAGATGGAAAGAGATATTCCTTGATCAACTGGAGCTCTCTCTTTAGTCGTATAATCAAATTAAGATAGCGGCCGTCGCTATCAAGAGCCCTTTGCGTTTAGAACATCTGTTCAAAGACATATCTCCGATGTTTGACCGAACAGAATCGAAAAATGTTTTACAATATTTCAAAAAGAATTATGAAGGCAAATTTAATTCGCTGGGAAGTCACGATTTACTGCAATGTTTGCAACTTCTTGCGAAGCATGGCTATGTGTCTGGAAACAAAGTGAAACTAATCGAAGACTACGTAACCGTCTGACATCGCTATTCATTCACAGACTCAAACTGACAGGAACTTTCCATCTCTTATCAGGCTTCCGTTCAGCTTTTGTCCTTTTATCTTTTCGGCAAAGTTAATTGCCTTGAAATTTATATCAAAAGAAGTGCTTTGAATTCAGGATTGGCTTTAAACTGCATACGCGTCATTCACTGCAGTAATTTAGAGATTAGTTTTCTGGTATAGTTGTTAACGCAAACGGAAACGACCTACTTCGAATTCGAATATATGCCAAAACTAATTGGCTTTTAAATAGATTCTTCCCCTTTTTGGAGGTGCTTATTCTGTTACTCTGCTAAAACAGAGTAACAAAATTTCGGGGGACAGCGCTGTCTATTATATTTCGAGGCGTTTTAACTTGAATGAGACTGAAATTTAGGCAACCTAAAGTATGATGAGCCCATGCAAGATTTACAGTGGAGCGGAAGCGTATTTACGAAGTATCTCTACGAAAACATAAGGAAAAAATCAAAACGATCTAATTCATAGAATGAATCATTTATCGACAAAAAAACTCACTTTTACTTTCATCTGATGCAAGCTTTAAAGTAAAGGTTTAAGAAAACCCTATTAGCTATCATCTTCGATTGGTCGACAGTTGAAGAATTCTTTTTTATAGAAAGACGCTTACAAGTTTTCGGAGATAAAAAGGTAATAAGGAGTGAGACAATTATGATAGTTGACCATTTTCAAGCCAACTTAGCTATATCGCGGGGCTCACTTTTGTGCAAAAAAAATCGACGTCCAACAAACAAATGAATTTTAAAATGATAGGAATGCACTTCTGTTCAAAGTTTTCAAAACAAAAAAACTTAATTGCGTGAGATGGGAACTATATGCCACATAAAAGTATGAAGCAATCAAAAATTTAGTGAGATAAGGGTCAATGATTATATTATATTATTTATAAATAATTAAAACATCACTATTACTAATATTATTTTTTACAGTATGATAATCATTCCATTTCGCGATAATGTTTCCGCAGCAACTATTTACTCAGCACGTCTTACAGGTTTTTTAGCTGCTTTTATTCCATGAAAACGAATGTAACCACTTTGAAGAAAACTTTACGAAAAAAGTCCCTAAAAAATAAGAAACTGAAAGACAAAACAGAGCAAAACAAAGTAGGAAGGTTTTCGGATAGATAGGGGAACACAAAAGCTTCGTCAAGAGAGGGGAGTTCGATATATTCCTTCAGTTTTTCCTTTTAAATCTGGTGTGCCCCTAATTTTTTTAAATGTTCTATTACGGAATGTTATTGGTGACTTGGTTACTCGGAAAACGTCAGCGACCTTAGTAAGACCCCGACAGACTATTTTCAAGAGTACAATTTACTTGCTCAGTAAGAGGGGGGTGGGGGTGAGGGGGTGAGGGAAGCGTGAAAGCCGACACGGCCTACCGCCCCAATTCAATTATAAAGATACTTTACAATTTGTGACCCCAATTTGATGGTGGATGTGCCATTAACAACCGATTTTCATTTTTTTCCCACCCATCTTGTCGCTGTACTAAAACTTTCGCTTTATGAATTGGTTAATCAATAAATCAATCAACATCAATTAACACTTTATTTACCATAAGTTAAAAAGTTAAAAGCAACAGAGCTGATATGGACCTGCATGTACGACATACAACAATACTCTATTAGTTAAAAGTTCTAAGGTAAATCAAAATGCTTGTAAATAGTGGTCAATAATAAATGTAATTTTGGTATGTGTTCGAGATTGTAAAGGCTTCCTTCTGAAATAACATGTTGACGATTGTATTCTAGGCTAAAAGCCCTCAACATCTTAGAGAGGTTCTCCCTAAATCTACGTTAAGATGTGGTAATTTAAAACTTGGGGAGTTGCATAAATTATAATTAGAACTACTACTCTAGATCTAATTAAAAAGACAGAATATCATCTGCCTCCATATCATTATCTACCTTGTATATAAATAAAAGCAATTAGCCAGTCTCATACATATTTAAATATGAATCCCACACAGTCAAGGATAGAACATCCTGAGTGTCCCAAGGCAGTCTATGTATGACTTTAGCAGCACATGCATGCATATACTCAAGGTTTAGCGTTAATGATTGGGAGCATGTGCTCCATAGTAAATTGTAGTAAGTAACTGTGAGGACTATACAACTGAAATAGATACTTTCTATTAAATTTTAAGTAGGTCCAGGGCTTTTTTAACTTTGGTGAATGACAAAACATGGATGCAATAGACGGTTTTTATAAATAAAAAAAATTATAGCATCGTTTACTATAAGTTTCACCTAAATACTAATCCATAAATAGAAATTGCATTGAAGCTACTAACAAAATTCAATTTAGTGCTTGGTGTCATCATATATACGTATCAGCTTGCTGACTTAGGTTTAGCACGGGCTTCAGTTCAAATCGTTTTCTTGTCGGTCAAGTGTCGATCAATTCAAAAGCTTCAACATCCCTGCCCCCCTTAAACTCCTCGGGCATTCGTTCAAACACCCTACTCAAGTGCCAGATTTGATGGCCAATTCTTTTTGCAAGAGACAAGATCAGCAGATATGACTCTCTTGTAGACCTTTCCTTCTGAGCCATCTTCTTGCGAAAGTGAACTATTTATCTTTAAACAGCTCCATCTTAAAAGATAAAACACATGTATTCAACCGGAGGGACTTGACCACCCCACCCAGGCAAGGTTCAAGTTCCCCACCCTTTGGAAAGAACGACAGTCAAATGCCCGAGCGTTGCCTGGGGGGATCTTAAAGTCTCGATTTGATTGGCACTTTATCCTGGATGAACATTGTCCTATGCTTTGGTTCTCACTTTCATCTCGGTGCGTTTTAGTGAGTAATGATAGCCCCTGAAAGAATACCAGTTGACCCCATCAGCATAGGACACATGGGAGCCATTGAGATACAATCCGTTCAGATTGGAGTGATGGCAGCTTTCGTACCACCAGGCTCCCTTGAAATGTTGGGAGCAGTGGCTGCTATCTAAATCATTTTCTTGATCATTCGTAGAAAACCCCATATTGCTGAAATGAAATCAAATTTCATGTAAGCTTGTTTTCACCATGTTTAGACACATAAAAAGCAATAATTATTCTTTTAAAGCTTTAAAGCTGGTTTGGATGGTAGCCTATACAAACTAATGACAACTAGGCCAGTCCACAACATCAGGAACTTCGTTTCCTTCTCTTTGCGAGAAGTGTGTGAGTTCTTGAACATCCCCTGCTAACCAGTAGAAAGAAGATGCAGGAGATGGGGCCTACGGTTTATCGTCCTTTTTCAAGAAGCTTTGAACGTTTATCCATTTGCGGGTGTTAAAGCAAAGGCGGCACATTCTTGGCAGTCTAGGTTATTGGATTACGTTATCAAGTCACGTGGCTTATCAGATCGGAACCTTGAAAAGCTGTTGAGATCTCAATCTTACTGAAGTCTCACATACTACTGGAAGTGTATGTTGATGTAGTTTGTTTGAGGCTCCCGAAAGTCTTTTGGTTTATCAATTCCTTGAGTATATAAAGTTAGGGCCTTTCCGCACCAGCGAATAAGTTGTTTCCTGTCATCATCAACATTTTACAAGTGCAAATTGTTTGTCGCGACTTGACAAATTTTGGACATATTTTGATGCTACACTGGTTTGCAGATTTAATAAATGTAACCGAAGAGGTTACAATTTATAGACCCAACCTTTCGACACTCCTGTCTAGTGCCTTCATCAAGGGTGATCTAAACGCTGCAACAAGAGGTCCTTTTATATGATCACTAATTAGCAGCCCTTTTTCTGACGAGGTGTAAATAGGCGTCAGGAAGCAAACCGCTATCGTCACGATTTAAAGGAGCGTGGGCGGAGTTAATATGCCAAGCCTCCAAACAAAGGCGCTGGTGGTAACGCCGATTAGTGGTGATAATTTTAGAATTATTCCACCCAATTGTATGGTTGGTTAGGCGGACAAATCTTCAAACGCACTGCCGACAACATTTGCCCCGAGTAAAAACTGAACAAAATCGACTTAATAAACAAAACTGTGAGAAACTTTTCGATCATTTGTCGTAAAAGCTGCGACCAGCGTGTAATTGAACTGAAAGCAGTATAGTAGGAAGGCAATAATTATCTTTTGTTGCAAAACACGTGGATTAAATTTTTTAAAACGGCTTGTACAAATCCTGGAAATTGGAGGTTTAATCCTTTGGCAAACTTGGCTGGCTGGTTTTATGAGCACATCAGGCACTGACGGAATTTTGGATGGCTTTCAAATTTTTTTGATGCGGATGCAACAGACGAAGCAAAAATTTTACATCACAAATTTGTGCTTTGACTTTTTCGGAACAATTCTAGTTTTGCCCGTTTGCGATTGTGATTGTGACGATTCAAAATTTAAACGAGGATGGAGACCAATAAAACATTAAACTCCCAAAATAAACATCAAAGCCCTACGTTTTCCTTTGTTTTATCTGGAAATGTTTCTCTTTACATACAACATTCAAACTAGATGTGATAAGCCGTTCATGATTAGTTCCCTTCCAAATCAATTTCTAAAGCCACATCCCTATTCGAAACATGCTTCCCGCGGCTGGAAATGGATTCTGTCTCAGTCAACCTGAATTCCTTACTTACTTATGTTGCGTCATAGAGTCACCAGCGGTGCCCTTGTATCCTCCAATCAAAAGCCGGTACTTATCAGCTTCGTCTGCCACACCAAAATTCGTGTACTCAGCGTATGTGATTTTCCCTTCAAAGTCTTCCAGGTCAACTCTCAACATGACATGATCAGCGGCTGTTAAACGGTGAAGATTGTCGTTTCCAAGCCAGAACTCTCCGCTCAGATCTCCGAAGCCGTTTTTGTAGGATTCCCATTTAAGATAGAAGTCAACAGAGCCGTCCAAGCGTTTCTGAAAAACGGTCCAGCCTCCACCGTCTGTGATCATGTCACATAACACTTGGATTGGTTTGCCGCCATCCGGATTGATGGTGTATAAGCCACTAGAATTGGAACCATCTTGAAACAATTGAGAGCAGCTTTTCGGTTCTATTAATTTGCGAGGAAATAAAGAACCTATTCGAAATCACTTCTTTATATGATAATTGAGGCTTTTTCTATACCTTAACAAAGCGACATATACCTACCGCAAGGTTTTCCTGTGAAGCCATGCTTACACTGGCATTGAATGCTGTCATCTTGATAGTTGGGAACACATATACCGTGATCACCACATTGGAAACTGTCCTCTTCACACGCGCTCTAGAGAAAAAAGTTGTGTCGAGTAACTTCCTAAACATCTGTAAGTCAAAGGAGTTTCTTTCTTTCAATAGCGCAGGGATATTCGAAGGATAGCAACTCATTTGGTTGCGAACAGGATTTGCACAAATTTCTTCAAGATATGGCCTTCGGCTTGCGCACCCTGTTACGTGCAACAAAAAACCTTTGATAGGTTGGGAGATAAACAAAGTCTACGAGACCATACACAAGCCTCGTTCTTAGGGAAATAGAGACCTCGGGTATGAGTTTACCACCATGATAATGATGATGATGATGATGACGATAATGATATCATGATGAATGATAGCTTTTATTTTTATCATCAATGTCATAATCAATACTTTTATCAGTATCTTTTTATCATCATTGACGATGGTTATAGCCATGAGTGGGTCTCCTCACGCTCCGTCTAAGAAAACCAAGTCTTGCTACAATATGCGACAATTTTATTACGAAGCGCAACAGAATACACATCCTTTCTTGTTGGATAGCAAAATGCGACCAGTTGACATGGTAGATTTACTTCAAAGAAAAGCAAGAATGCCGTTTTTCGTGAGTGGAGCCCCCTTCCCCTAACGTCAACAGCCGGAAAATTTCTATCACGATTATTTACAGATCTTCTTAAGCAGATAAGGAGGTAAAAGAAGAAATGAAAACTTAAATAGTTCAAAGTTAATCAAGATTTTAATTCTGATCCACAACAGAAGTCATTGTTGATGCACTAAACAGATTTAGCTTACCTTTATTCCCCTGTAAATGAAATCTTTATCCTCGATAAAGTTAGCAAATCCAGCAAATCGATCAGAGTCGCTTAGTTGACACTTGAATTTGTTTGAGTCGCCCTTTACGGTTCCAAAGTTGTAAGACTGACATCGCTCTTCATACACACACTCAAACTGACAGGAACTTTCCGAATCCACTTCTACATCTCTTATCAGGCTTCCGTTCAGCTTTTGTCTTTTTATCTTTCCGGCAAAGTTAACAGCTTTGAGATTTGGACCTGAAATACGGTTTATGCCGTAGGCAACAGCGCAAAGAAGAGATATTATGCTGAGATGCATGTTTAGTCTTCACTGTCAGAAAGAATATGATGAAAAAGGATGAATGTTTATTTCATTTCTATTGACAAACTAGATAAGCAGGTGCTAAAAAATTGAAAAAAAAACGGTATAGGCAATATGATATGTTTTTTTTGATGACCGTCAACATAGGCAGGTTGCTAAACAGGTATTAGGCTTCCTTCAAACTGCATTAGGTTGCAGTGTTTTCCATTTTTTTTTACTTTTTCTCACCGTGACTATTCTTCTTGAGGACTGATGGTTGAATCATCTTTTTTCTCATACGGAGAGCATAAAGGAAAGGACTTGGTGAAAGGACTTTTTAATTTTCTTTAGTTATACATATTTGCACTCTAGTATCTATAACTGATTAATTTTCAGGGTCTATGACTCTTTCCTAGTCAAAATTTAATAGCATCTTTAAGATCCTGCGCGGAAGTATAACTGATGTCGAGTGAAGCTGTTTAAATAAGGATGACAATCTAATGGTTCGTGTTCACTCTCAGAAATCGGAGTTGATGCGTGTAACATAGATTGTCAAATGCTCTTAGGCAAGTTTCAAACCTAAGGCCTATTTGAATTAGTCCATTAATTTAATAATTACGGCAGGTACTCCGGCATAACTTTCTGTGTCCCCAAAATTTCCCTGAGGCGTTTTTAGAGCTTTCGAGTGTTTCTTTCCCTTAGCCCTCATGCAGTGTACTTAATTACAACACAGAATGAGAAAAATATAGATGAATATGAGCCATTTATCAGTAAATAATATATTAAAGAGTAAAAACCAAACGTTTTCGACACTAGGTTATCATGAGGGTAAATAAACACCGTCCGCTAAATTGATGATATTTTATATACTTAATTCCCGATGGGAGGAGTTTCGTGACGCGTTTTGTTCGGGAAGTGGCAGAGAGCACGTTTGAAGAGAAGTTTATTTCTGAGTTTGGGTAATTTGTTGTACGTGTGAATTCATTTAGTGATGTAGTCAATGGCGTCCTTCACATTTACTTCAGTGAAAAGCGAGAAGACGTCATTGGCAAACACGTCTAATGACTTGAAACCTACATGCCATCCCTGGGAGAATTGTTCTCATTCCTTCAACTGGGGCATGATCTGCATGGAGAAGTCTTTTTATCAACTCAGAATCCTTGAAGGTCTCATGATGCAACTTTTGCAGCCTAGTTTGAATAGGCAAATTAATTCCTACGTTGCGAAACGACTCCCGTCGGTAATAATTTAAGGATATAAAATATGCAATTTAGTGGACAGTGCTTATTAATAATAACCTAATGATAATAACTTAATGTCGGAAACGCTTGGTTCTTACAACTTGATTTTTTGTTTCCTTGTGAATAGCACATTTTTTAACCTTAGCGAACTTAATGGACATAGATGAATATGTTGTGGTTCAATTTTATCCCTGGTTCAAATTTCATTTTCGTTTGTCTTGGTTGTTTCTAATGTATGACAATGAGTTTGAAATAAAAGAAAATAAAATTTGAACCAAGGATAAAATTGAACCACAACAAAAGTGTGTCCACCAATCTTCACACATAAATTAGATTTTCACTCTTGTTTCCTTTTCTAATTAACTTTCATAAGTTTCTTTCTCAAGTGAATTCATATTGCAGATAAGTAATGCTCGATTGTTTGTCCCTCGTGTCAGAAATGAGAGCACCGGCTGTTTATACTTTTTTCATAAGTTTTGTGTTAATTGCCGGTTCCTCCTTTTACAACAAAAATTATTTGAATCCCAAAAAAGTGGAAAAAAACTCCTCAGGTCTAAAAGTGTCCATGGGACTAAAAGAGAGAAAAAAAAAAAATGAAATAGAAGACTGAGTCACAAGAAATAAAAAGCTCAGTTAAGGTCCTGAGTGCAAAATTTAGGACTAGCAATTATTTTTCTCGGGGCTGTGCTTGTAGTCTGCAATCTGCAATCAAACTTAGTTTTTGCTTAGGGTTAGGGAAGCTAAGGGACATCTTTATATATACGTTCTGGCCGAGAAAATTGCCAAACTTGTAGAGCCACATTATGTCGAGGCATTCAGGAAGTTTGAGAACGACAGAGCAAACTTTGAGGAGAAGTTACATGTTAATTACTTCTAGCAGTTAAGGGATTAAAGAAGCACACTGATCTTGCGAGGTGCTACAATGCCATTTGAAACTGTCTTTACAGTCTCAACCAGCCGAAGAAAGCATCTGAGTTTTACACTAAAGCTTATGAGATGCAGGCTCGTATGGGATTTGAACCCAGGCCTCTGCGATACCGACCAGTTTGCTTGTTAGCTCAGTTGGTAAAGCGCTGCCCCGGTATCGCAGAGGTCATAGGTTCAAATCCCATACGAGCCTGAATTTTTTTCAGGACTTATTCTCACTACTACTTAAGTAGTGTTCATAACTGCGGGGATCGCTTCCATATTCATTTCTTCAAACGCAGTTCACATAGATGATTTTTATATCATTTACAGTAAAGTTGGGTAAAGAACCAGCTGCCTCTTTTTCGTCAAAATAACTTAAGTCTTTGTACAAAGCACTTTTATGATGTCACATTTTCAGTTAGGAAATCTGTGAAGCCACTGTTGGCCTTCAGTGTGGTTAGCTTTACTTTCCTGTTTGATATCGAAAGATACCTTCTTTAATCGGGGAATGGAAGCATTAGTTTACAATTTTGATTCAGAAATAAAAATAACTTCGAAAGCTTCTCCTTCCCAGTAGACGTCGCAGCTCAGCAGATTCGGAAGCAAGGATGAGGAGCCAAACTTTGTATAGTGTCAAAGAATAAGATTACGGGATCTGTTGAACTAATTTGAACTTATGATAATTCAATTGGATTGGTATGTTCTTTTTAAAATTGTTTAAGTTTACTTATAATATCCTCGTACACTGTTTTAATAGGCAGATTTCGGATAAGTTGATTGTAGATATCAAACAACTAGCTGAATGATTGCTCATGTTTATTTTCCGGTGCAAGTGTATAAGTATTATTTCGAAGGAAGTGCTTTGAATTCGGGATTGGCTTTAAAGTGCATACGCGTTACTCAACTGTAGTAATTTAGAGATTAGTTTCTGGTATGGTTTTTGCACAAACGGAAATGGTCTGGTTCGAATTCATATATGTATGCTAAAACTGATTTTTTTTAACGTAGGATCTTCCCTTTTTCGGAGGTGCTTTCTATTAAAAAGCTGAGTCATTATTTTCGCTCTTCACCCTTTTGACCTGAATTTCCTGGAATTTCTAGAATCACCGACCTAGTACCATGATCTGAGGTATTTTTGCAACTTTTACTGAAGCCATTCCAAACTAATATTTCAGTTTAAAGCTTTTTCTTGCGTCAGTTTAGCGTCGATCAACTAAAAAGCTTCATCATTCCCCCGCCAGGAAACTCTCGGGGCATTTAAACTTTTAAAGAGTTCCTCCTTCAAATTCCCGTCTACCGGGGCTAAAAATTGTGTTCAAATGCCCTACCCAAGTGCCGGATTTGATGGTCAATTTGTTTATAAAAGGCAAGATCAGCGACTGTGACTTTCTTGGAGACCTTTTCTTGTGAGGGATCTGCTCGCGAAAGTGAACTCTTTACCTTTAAACAGCTCCATATTAAAAGATAAAACACGTGTATTCCGCTGGAGGAACTTGATAAGTCCGGTTCAAATAGCCCACCACACCCATGCAAGGTTCAAGTTCCTCACCCCCCGGAAAGAACGACAGTCAAATACCCGTGTGTTGCCTGGGGGGAATGTGAAGCCTTGATTTGATTGGCGCTTTATTCTGGGATAGACATTGTCTCATGCTATGGTTTTCACTTTCATCTTGGTGCGTTTTAGCGAGTAACGATGGCCTCTGAAAGAAAGCCAGTTGACTCCATCAGCATTAGACAAATGGGAGCCATTGAGGTACAATCCGTTCAGTTTGGATTGATGGCAGCTTTTGTACCACCAGGCTCCCTTGTAGCTTCGAGAGCATTGGAAGTAATATCCATCATTGTCTTGATCATTCGTAGAAAACTCCATATTGCTGAAATGAAATTTCATGTAAGCTCGTTTCTACCATGTTTAGACAGATAGAAAGCGATAATTATTTACTTATTCGTTTATTTACGATATTTATACAATTGGTCCAGGTCAGCTTTAAAGTTGGTTTGAATGGTAGCCTGTAGAAACTAATAACAAGGCCAGACCACAACACCGGTAGCTTCGCTCCCTTCTTCTTGCAAGGACTTTGTGTGTTCCCTAACATCCCCTGCCAACCAGGACTGAGAAGATGCAGGAGACGGGGCCTACGGTTTATCGTCCTTTTTCGAGAAGCTTTGAACGTTTATCCATTTGCGGGTTCATAGAAAAGGCAGCACATTTCACGACTCTGAGTGTTGGTCTGGTCTGGGGCTTGAGCCTTGATCCTCCCGTAGGGCAGTCTAGGTTATCGGATGACGCAATCAAATCACGTGACTTATGAGATTGGAACCTTGCTCCTTACGTGCATTTCTTGAATGATCTCGGAAAACTGTTGAAAACTGTTGTCACTCAAATCTTACTGAAAAAAGAACGATGAAACCAGTCAGCTTTATTGAACAGGAGAGAAAGGATCAAGGTGACAGTCGCGCAGTTTTTATTAGACGTAGAACCCATGTAATTATACTTACTAGCGATTGCAGAATGATTTAAAGCCAGGCGTTTTTCTTTTGTTCTAATTTTTGTTTCTCTTTAGATACAAAATTTAAACTATATGTAACAGTTCGTCATGATCAGTTCCCTTCGCTGATAATTTTCTAAAACTGCACCTCTAATCGAATCATGCTTCCCGCGGCTGGAAATGGATACTCTCTTAGACAACATAATATCTTTCTTACCTATGTACCGTCATAGAGTCACCAGCAGTGCCATTGTATCCTTCAACAAAAAGCCGGTACTTGTAAGCTTCGTCTGCCACATTAAAATTCGTGTACTCAGCGTACGTGATGTTCCCTTCAAAGTCTTCCAGGTCAACTCTCAACATAACGTCATCAGCGGCTGTTAAACGGTGAAGATTGTCGTTTCCAAGCAAGAAATCTCCGCTCAGATTTCCGAAGCCGTTTCTGTAGGATTCCCATCTAAGATAGAAATCAGCAGAGCCATCCAAGCGTTTCTGAAAAACGGTTCAGCCTCCACCGTCTGTGGTCATGTCACATAACACTTGGATTTGTTTGCCACCATCTGGATGGTGTACACGCCACTAGAATTGAAACCATCTTGAAACAATTGAGAGCAGCTTTTTGCTTCTATTGCGTGGAAAAAAAAAAACCTATATAAGATGACTTCTTTATATGATAATTGAGGCTTTTTCTATGCCTAAGTAAAGGGATATACACCTACCGCAAGGTTTTCCTGCGAAGCCATGCTTAAACTGGCATCGAACGCTGTCATCTTGATAGTTGGGAACACATATACCATGATCCCCACATTGGAAACTGTCCTCTTCACACGCGCTCTAGAGAGAAAATTTGTGTCAAGTAACCTCCTAAACATCTGTAAATCGAAGGAGTTTCTTTCTTTCAAAAGGGCAATGATATTCTAAGGATGGACACTCATGTTGTTGCGGATAGGACTTGCACAAACTACTTTGCGATATGGTCTTCGGCTTGTGCACCCTGTTACGTACAACAGAAAACCTGTACACAAGCCTCGTTCTAAGGAAAAGAGAGACCTCGGATATGAGGTTACCAGCATGATAACAATGATGATGATGATGATGACGATGATGATATCATGATGAATAGTAGTTGTTATTACATCACCGCCACTATTATTACTTTTATCAGTATTTTTTATCATCATTGACGATGACTATAGCCATGAGGGGGTCCCCTTACTCTCTGTCCAAGAAAACCCAGTCTTGCTACAATATGCGACAATTTTATTACGAAGCGCAACAGAAGACACATCCTTTCCTTTTGGATAGCAAAACGCGACTAGTTCACATGCAAGATTTACGTCAAAAGAAAAGCGAGAATTAAGGCTCTATATATGCCACTCTCGATCAGACTGATTTATACTGTCTTTAACAGCCTCTCATCCGGTATTCATCGCCAAAATGACCTCAAAGCCATTTGAATTATTTTTTCTCGAAAACCTAACTGTTTTTGTTAGTCTAGTCTCTTTCCCCTAACACCAACGGCGGGCAAAATCCTATCATGATTATTGTCCGAATCTACTTCTCCATCTCTTATCAGGCTTCTTTTCAGCTTTTGTCCCTTTATCTTTTCGGCAAAGTTAATTGCCTTGAAATTTGGCCCTGAAATACGGCTTATGCCATAGGCAAAGGCGCAAAGAAGACATATTATGCTGAGATACATGTTTAGTCTTCACTATCAGAAAGAGTATGATAAAAAGGAATGAGTTATTTCGTTCTATTTCCTAACTAGATAACCAGGTGCAAGAAAATTGCGAGAATAAAAACAGTATAAACAAAATGTTTTGTTAACTTTCTGCTAAGCTGGTTTTCATTTCGGTCAGAGCTCAGACGAAGGGCTAACGTTCGAAACGTCATCCTTCTAACTCATTACGGTGCCCAATTTACGTATTCAACTCAGTTGCTAACACTTAATTACCTGATATTACGGAAGCAGAGAAGGGACAATCCAAAAATATTTTGCAAATCCGAAAAAATGTTTAGAATCGATATCTAATAGACAAATCGCTTTTGGAAAGTTTTCCAAATCGAGGGAACAGTTTCAGATCCTGGTTTTATTCAAAGATCCACAAATAACTTTAACGAAAATCGAAAATAGTCTTCAATCCAGGAGTCTTTCCAAAATCCAGATGATTTACGAAAATGGAGAAAAATATTTTGTGACGTGACACTTGCGCCAGTAGTCAGCACTTTGTCACATTACAGCTCATCGTATCGCACTAGGTTGCACCAGGTCGACTTGGAGTCACTACGCGAACGGACTAAACTGTACCAAGTGTATTGGAAAAGAATTTGTGAGTAATGAGCTATTCTGCCGTCGATGTGGAACATTAAAGAGACCAAACATACACAATCAGTCCTTGCTGAAAACAATGAAAAAAACCTCAGACCATCTCTTACAAAAAGGGAAAATTTCTTAAAGACATGCTTGTAAGAGCATAAATATAATTTGAAGGCGATAATGTGACACGACCACAAAAGCCACTTGGGGAGTCCGTGTCGGGCTGTCTTTCAATGATCTTTATTCTCACGGCCGGGCGAAAGTGTCACGTGACAAAATATTTTTCTCGATTTGCGGAAATTTTCTGGATTTAAGGAACGATTCTTGGATTGTAAACTAGTTTCGATTTTCCGCGAAATTTATTTGTGGATCTATGAATTAAACAAGGATTTGAAATTGTTTTCTCGATTTGACAACCTTTTCAAAAGCGATTTGTCTAAAAGATTCTGAATATTTTTTTCGGATTTGAAAAATATTTTTGGATTTTTCCTTTTCGGCTTCCATAGTGGGCCTTGAGTGTGGTTTGCTTTAGCGCCCTGTTTAATATAGAAAGAGACCTATGAGGTTTTTTTACGGACAAAATATCGAACATGGATACATTAATGTTTTGTTCAATTACGTTATTGTTATGCGTTATAATACAAGTCTTAAAATAAAATAAATCAATTTCATCCGGAATACATCGATTTGGATGTCATACATCGATGTTGTGCATTATACATCACTTTCCTGACTCATTAAGCAAGAGGCCCCGGTAAATAACAAAATGGCGGGAATAGAGGCAAATGATCACTGAAGTTTGAGAAGCAGTACGCAAGGTGCACGGATTTGGCTGCCTAACATCGAAGGATTTTTTACGTCTTTGGGTAGGCGATTGGAAAGTGCAGAAGGGCAAAGGAACACTAAGAGTAAGATTTCAGGGGGTGGTAGAGGTTTCGTTCGATTCTCGCATTTCATGTACGTGACATGTTGTCGTCTCGCCTTATTTTAGACATTTATGCCTTGTTTTAGATGGTTTTAGATAGTTTGCGAGTGGCTGTAGATTTTTTTGAGGTGGTTGTTGAAATTTTTGAGGGAGTAGTAGATGGTTGTAGGTGGTTGTAGATGGTTTTAAGGTGGATTTAGATCGTTCCATGTTTTGTGCTTACGGTTAACTGTGTTTTTTCAGAATTGTTTCCTCTTAGGGGTGAAAAACATATCAAGCTATGCCCATAAAACAGGATCTTGGTACCTTTTAAGGGTTCTTTTCTAATTTTGCGACAAGCGGTTTTAAATCTGTGGTACAAGGGAGGTCAGGCTGTAATTTTGATGCATGAGCATTAATGCCAACTCAACTCATGATTTGAGACACCTCCCCCAATTCTATTTAGCCCCCTCACTAATCACCCTAATCCAGTTTCCCAGCCCCCACCTTCCCCAGATATTATGCTCAAAATTCCCGACTATCATGCCTGTTACTCATGGGTGGTCAACAAATGCCTCTTGTTCTTGCTATGATCATTATTGTTGTTGTTGTCATTATTATTATTATCATTACCACTATTACTCAGATAGGCAGATGCAATGCAATGAACTAATTTAGCGGTCAGTGCAATAATCATCCTGTAAGCACACAATGCAATTTCTCTCCCAATCAGCTCTGTATACAAGGAATGCTACATTTCAGAAATTCTGGGTATAAGGCTGTGACAGATGTGACTGCCAGCAAGGCTGTTAATTTTGACCATCATGGGATTGATGAAGAAGGGCCTGTACCTGACATGCAGAGTGACTATGCAGTTTCGGTACCTGACACAATTACTACTCTGACACATAACCAATAATTGCCACTGCAAGAAGCTAGAGATGCAGCCTTCAAAATTGGTGATCATGATGGAATAATAGCCTGCCAAGTGGTATTGCAGATTGCTTCTTTTTATTTAAACTGCTGTTCATGATTTACTGTATTAACTTCATATACTTGGAGTGAACTCTTAAGACAGTTAGTATAAACTGGTTACTGCTATACATGTCAGTATGCCAAGAATAAAATTACTAATGACAATGTAAATGGGAAACAGTAACAATAATCAGGTATAATCTCAAATCTAACAGCCTTACTGATACAAAGGAGTGTAAAACTTTTAATAGCTGGGAAAAAATACATGATGTTATAGTGGCATAATGTACTAAATGCTTCATAGTATAAACACTTGAGATCATGAGATCTAGCCTTGATTTGCTATCACTCAAAACAATAGCAAATAAGGTAAAGCTGTGGCTACATTGCACGCATAATGGCTATTGCAAAGAAGTTTATACTCTTGTAAATGAGCTCTTGTAAGCTCTTTTTGTTAGTGTTGAGTTTATCATGCTGTTAATGAAACAGTTAAATAAATATGCTGAGTAACTTGAAACTGGAACTTTGAACGTGGAACATTTCCTGAGTAATCTAAACGGATTTGAAAATTTTATTGTTTTATATGAAGGGTCCACTGGCACATTTTCCTTGGCCACTGCTTAGGAAATTAAGAGATTTTGTATTAATTTGAGCAGTAGAAATTTCTAGCAATGAAGGAGCAAAATGTTCCCATAAGCATATGTAAAGTCATGGATAATTGTACCAATTGCAAAGATTTTTTGCCTTAAAACCTCAAGTTACGCCCTCCCTTGTTCAACCTCTTAGTGATTATGATTCTATGTGTGTTTTTTTACGTCCTATGAAAAATTATGAATAAAAATGGTTTGTGGGCCTAAGAATAACACAACTGTTAACTGAAAGTAAGATAAGGAGGGATCATCCTTTCATGTCTATATCTTGCCAAAGCCAATTTTGCCATAAGCAATACTCTCATCCAAGAATTCTTCAGATATCAGCCCAACGAAAACCTGCGTCATTGCTGTAAGATCGGTAGCCTTGGTCTGCCAACTAAACCGTTCCTAGCCACAGTTGAAAGACGATCGTTTAAGGACGATGGTGCAGTAAACGTAGAACGTTCCGAGTCCTCGAAAATTCTGTCAAAGTCCCTTGAAAGTTGGTTCATAAGAAAAACAAGTTCGTTTAGATTAGAGATCACCTCAACTTCATCTGGTAAGACTTCTTCTATTCTTAGAGTCATAGTGACAAGAGTTCTTTCGTTTTCTCGTAAACGGCGACTAAAAAATTCAGCCGAGTTGTAGGACGCAGTGTTCCTTTGCCCTTCTGCTTTTTCCAGTAGCCTACCCAAAGAAGTAAAAAATCCTTCGATGTTGGGCAGCCAAATCCGTGCACCTTGCATAGTGCTTCTCAAATTTCACTGATCATTTGCCTCAATTTCCGCCATTTTTAAAGTGCTAGTTCCCTGGGCCTATTGTTTAATCTGACTTCCGGTCATTTCTATTTCCGCTCCCTCATCTTTTAGTTTTATTGAACATCTTTTAGTTAAATAAGGTCACGCGTGAATGAGTCAGGAAAGCGATGTATGCTGCACAACATCGATGTATGACATCCAAAATCGATGTATTCTGGGTAAAATTGATTTATTTTATTTTAAGATTTGTATTATAACGCATAACAATAACGCAATTGAATAAGACATTAATGTATCTATGTTCAATATTTTGTCCGTAAGACCAGTCTTTAATAGGGGAAGGGAAATATTATTTTACAATTTTCATTCAGAAATAATAAGTAACTTCGAAAGCTTCTCCATCCGAGCAGACGTTGCAGCTCAGCAGATTCGGAAGCAAGGATGGGAAGCCAAAATTTGCATATTGCTAAAGAATAACATTACGGGATCTGTTGAACTAATTTGAACCTATGATAATTCAATTGGATTGGTATTTTGTTTTTGAAGTTGTTAAAGTTTACTTAGAATATCGTCGTACACCTTTTTAATAAGCAGATGTTGGATAAGTTGACTGTTGATATCCAACAAGTAGTTGAATGATTGCCCATGTTTATTTTCCGGTGCAAATGTATGAGTATTATATCAAAGGAAGTGCTTTGAATTCGGGATTGGCTTTAAACTGCATACGCGTCACTCAACTGCAGTAATTTAGAGATTAGTTTCTGGTATGGTTGTTAACGCAAACGGAAATGACCTACTTCGAATTCGAATATATGCCAAAACTAATTTGCTTTTAAATAGATTCTTCCCCTTTTTAGGAGGTGCTTATTCTGTTACTCTGTTAAAAACAGAGTAACAGAATTTCGGGGGACAGCGCTCTCTATTATATTTCGAAGCGTTTTAACTTGAATGAGACTGAAACTTAGGCAACCTATAGTATGATGAGCCCATGCAAGATTTACAGTGGAGCGGACGCTAGCTGCTTTTATTCCATGAAAACGAATGCATCCACTTGGACGAAAACTTCACCAAAAAAGTCCCTAAAAAATAAGAAACTAAAAAACAAAACAAACCAAAACAAAGTAGGAGGGTTTTCGGATAGATTAGGGAACACACAAAAGCTTCTTCAAGAGAACGGATTTCGTTACATGCCTTTAGTTTTTCCTTTTAAATCTCGTGTGCCCCTGATTTTTTAAAATGTTCTATTACGGAATGTTATTGGTGACTTGGTTACTCAGAAAACGTTATCAACCTAAGTAAGACTAACTTTCGTTTATGAATTGGTTAATCAATAAATCAATGAAAATCAATTAATACTTTATTTACCGTAAGTTAAAAAGTTAAAAGCAACAGAGCTGATATGGACTTGCATGTATGACATACAACAATACACTATTAATCTAAAGTTCTAAGTGTAAATCAAAATGTTTGCAAATAGTAGTCAATAATAAAAGTAATCTTGGTATTTATTCGAGTTTGTAAAGGCTTCCTTCTGAAATAACATGTTGACGGTTATATTCTAGGCTAAAAGCCCTCTTCATCCTAGAGAGGTTCTCCCTAAATCTATGTTAAGATGTGGTAATTTAAAACTTGGGGAGTTGCATAAATTATAATTAGAACTACTACTCTAGATCTAATTAAAAAGACAGAATATCATCTGCCTCCATATCATTATGTATCCTGTATATAAATAAAGCAATCACCCAGTTTCATACATATTTAAAAACGAATCCCACACAGTCAAGGATAGAAGGCAGGGCAGGCAAGGCAGGGTCAAGGCAGTATATGTATGACTTTAGCAGCACATACATGTATATACTCGAGCTCTAGCGTTGATGATGGGGAGCATGTGTCCCATAGTAAATCGCAGTAAGTAACTGTGAGGACTATACAAGTGAAATAGATACTTTCTATTGCACTCAAAGTAGGTCCAAGGCTTCATAAACTTTGTTAAATAACAAAACATGGATGCAACAGCCAGTTTTTATTTTGAAAAAAAAATATGGCATTGTTTACTATAAGCTCCACCTAAATACTAATTCAATGCTAAAAATTGCATTGAAGCTACTAACAAAATTCAATTTAGTAGTGTCATCATATATACGTATCAACTTGCTGACTTATGTTTAGCGCGAGCTTCAGTTCAAATTGTTTTCTTGTCGGTTAAGCGTCAATCAATTCAAAAGCTTCAACATCCCCCCCCCCTCGAAACTCCCCGGGCATTTGAACTTTTTAAGACTGGCTCGTTCAAATTCCCGTCCTCCGGGGCCAAAATTGTGCTCAAACACAATTTTTTGTAAGAAGCAAGATCAGTGACTGTAACTTTCTTGTAGACCTTTTCCTCGTAGCCATCTTTTTGCGAAAGTGAACTCTTTACCTTTTAACAGCTTCATACTTAGACATAAAATACGTGTATTCCGCTGGAAGGACTTGGCAGGTTCAGAAAAATTGCCCACCCCACCCAGGAAAGGTTCAAGTTCCCCACCCTTTTGAAAGAACGACAGTCAAATGCCCGAGTGTTGCCTGGGAGGGATGTTAAAGCCTCGATTTGATCGGCGCTTTATCTTGGGATGGACATTGTCTTACGCATTGGTTCTCACTTTCATCTCAGTGCGTTTTAGTGAGTAATAATGGCCTCTGAAATGAAGCCAGTTGACTCCATCAGCATAAGACTTATGGGAGCCATTGAGGTACAATCCATTCAGATTGGAGTTATGGCAGTTTTGGTACCACCAGGCTCCCTTGTAGAGTTGGGAGCAATGCCTGTTATCTCCGTCATTGTCTTGATCATTCGTAGAAAACCTCATATTGCTGAAATGAAATGAAATTTCATGTAAGCTTGTTTTCACCTTGTTTAGACACATAAAAAGCATTAGTTACTTATTTATTTATTTATTCACGATATTTATACAGGCTGATCAAGTTCAGCTTTAAAGCTAGTTTGGATGGTAGCCTATACAAACTAATAACAACTAGGCCAGGCCTAACCCAATACCGGGAGCTTCGTTCCCTTCTCTTTGTGAAAAATACGTGGGTTCTTTAACATCCCCTACTGACCAGTAGAGAGAAGATGCAGGAGATGGGGCCTACGGTTTATCGTCCTTTTTCAAGAAGCTGTATCCATTTGCGGGTGTTAAAACAAAGGCGGCACATTCTTGGTAGTCTAGGTTATCGGATTACGTAATCAAGTCACGTGACTTATCAGATCGGAACCTTGAAAAACTGTTGAGATCTCAATCTTACTGAAGTCTCACACATTACTTGAAGTGTATGTTGATGTAGTTTGTTTGAGGCTCCCGAAAGTCTTTTGGTTTATCAATTTCTTGAATATGTAAAGTTAGGGCCTTTCCGCAGTAGCGAATAAGTTGTTTCCTGTCAACATCAACATTTCACAAGTGCAGATTGTTTGTCGCGACTTGACAAATTTTGTTCGAGGCGGACAAATCTTCAAATGCACCGCCCACGACATTTGTCCCGGGTAAAAACTGAACAAAATCGACTTAATAAACAAAACCGTGAGAAACTTGTCGATTATTTGTCGTAAAAGCTACGATCAGCGCGTAATTGAACTGAAAGCAGTATAGTATGAAGGCAATAGTTATCTTTTGTTCCAAAACACGGGGATTGAAATTTTTGAAACGGCTTGTACAAATCCTGGAAATTGGAGGTTTAATCCTTTGGCATACTTGGCTGGCCAGTCTTATGAACACATCAGGCACTGACGGAATTTTGGACGGCTTTCAATTTTTTTTGATGCGGATGCAACAGACGAAGCAAACATTTTACATGACAAATTTGTCCTTTGATTTTTTCGGAACAATTTTAGTTATGTCCGTTTAGGATTGTGATTGTGACGATTCAAAATTTAAACGAAGATGGAGACCAATAAAACATTAAACTCCCAAAATAAAAATCAAAGCTATACGTTTTCCTTTGTTTTATCTGGAAATGTTTCTCTTTACATACAAAATTCAAACTAGATGTGATAAGCCGTTCACGATTAGTTCCCTTCGAAATCAATTTCTAAAGCCACATCCCTATTCGAAACATGCTTCCCGCGGCTGGAAATGGATTCTGTCTCAGTCAACCTGAATTCCTTACTTACTTATGTACTGTCATAGAGTCACCAGCGGTGCCCTTGTATCCTCCAATCAAAAGCCGGTACTTATCAGCTTCGTCTGCCACACCAAAATCCGTGTACTCAGCATATGTGATGTTCCCTTCAAAGTCTTCCAGGTCAACTCTCAACATGACATGATCAGCGGCTGTTAAACGGTGAAGATTGTCGTTTCCAAGCCAGAACTCTCCGCTCAGATCTCCGAAGCCGTTTTTGTAGGATTCCCATTTAAGATAGAAGTCAACAGAGCCGTCCAAGCGTTTCTGAAAAACGGTCCAGCCTCCACCGTCTGTGATCATGTCACATAACACTTGGATTGGTTTGCCGCCATCTGGATTGATGGTGTATACGCCACTAGAATTGAAACCATCTTGAAACAATTGAGAGCAGCTTTTCGGTTCTATTAATTTGCGAGGAAATAAAGAACCTATTCGAAATCACTTCTTTATATGATAATTGAGGCTTTTTCTATACCTAAACAAAGCGAAATATACCTACCGCAAGGTTTTCCTGTGAAGCCATGCTTACACTGGCATCGAATGCTGTCATCTTGATAGTTGGGAACGCATATACTGTGATCACCACATCGGAAACTGTCTTCTTCACATGCGCTCTAGAGAAAAAAGTTGTGTCGAGTAACTTCCTAAACATCTGTAAGTCAAAGGAGTTTCTTTCTTTCAATAGCGCAGGGAGATTCGAAGGATAGCAACTCATTTGGTTGCAAACAGGATTTGCACAAATTTCTTCAAGATATGGCCTTCGGCTTGCGCACCCTGTTACGTGCAACAGAAAACCTTTGATAGGTTGGGAGATAAACAAAGTCTACGAGACCATACACAAGCCTCGTTCTTAGGGAAATAGAGACCTCGGGTATGAATTTACCACCATGATAATGATGATGATGATGAAGACGATAATGATATCATGATCAATGGTAGTATTTGTTTTTATCATCAACGTCATAATCATTACTTTTATCAGTATCTTTTTATCATCATTGACGATGGTTATAGCCATGAGTGGGTCTCCTTACGCTCCGTCTGAGAAAACCAAGTCTTGCTACAATATGCGACAATTTTATTACGAAGCGCAACAGAATACACATCCTTTCTTGTTGGATAGCAAAATGCGACTAGTTGACATGGAAGATTTACTTGAAAGAAAAGCAAGAATGAAGGCTTTATATATAAAACAAATCGAAACATTTTTCGCGAAAAATCTAGCCGTTTTCGTGAGTGGAGCCCCCTTCTCCTAACGTCAACAGCCGGAAAATTTCTATCACGATTATTCACAGACCTTCTTAAGCAGATAAGGAGGTAAAAGAAGAAATGAAAGCTTAAATAGTTCAGTTAATCAAGATTTTAATTCTGATCCACAACAGAAGTCATTGTTGATGCACTAAACAGATTTAGCTTACCTTTATTCCCCTGTAAATGAAATCTTTATCCTCGATAAAGTTAGCAAATCCAGCAAATCGATCAGAGTCGCTTAGTTGACACTTGAATTTGTTTGAGTCGCCCTTTACGTTTCCAAAGTTGTAAGACTGACATCGCTCTTCATACACACACTCAAACTGACAGGAACTTTCCGAATCCACTTCTATATCTCTTATCAGGCTTCCGTTCAGCTTTTGTCTTTTTATCTTTCCGGCAAAGTTAACAGCTTTGAGATTTGGACCTGAAATACGGTTTATGCCGTAGGCAACAGCGCAAAGAAGAGATATTATGCTGAGATGCATGTTTAGTCTTCACTGTCAGAGAGAATATGATGGAAAAGGATGAATGTTTATTTCATTTCTATTGACAAACTAGATAAGCAGGTGCTAAAAAATTGCAAAAATAAAAACGGTATAGGCAATATGACATGTTTTTTTTGGTGACCGTCAACATAGGCAGGTTGCTAAACAGGTATTAGGCTTCCTTCAAACTGCATTAGGTTGCAGTGTTTTCCATTTTTTTTTTACTTTTTTCTCACCGTGACTATTCTTCTTGAGGACTGATGGTTGAGTCATCTTTTTCTCATACAGAGAGCATAAAGGAAAGGACTTGGTGAAAGGACTTTTTAATTTTCTTTAGTTATACATATTTGCACTCTAGTATCTATATTTGAATAATTTTCAGCGTCTATGACTCTTTCCTTGTCAAAATTTAATAGCATCTTTAAGATCCTGCGTGGAAATATAACTGATGTCGAGTGAAGCTGTTTAAATAAGGATGACAATCTAAAGATTCGTGTTCAGTCTCAGAAATCGGAGTCGGTGCGTGCAACATAAATTGTCAAATGCTCTTAAGCAAGTTTCAAACCTAAGGCTTATTTGAATGAGTCCATTGATTTAATAATTACGGCAGTTACTCCGGCATAACTTTCTGTGTCCCCAAAATTTTCCTGAAGCTTTTTAGAGCTTTTGAGTGTTTCTTTCCCTTAGCCTTCATGCATTGTAATTAATTACAACACAGAATTAGAAAAATATAGATGAATCTGGGCCATTTATCAGGAAATAATATATTAAAGAGTAAAAACCAAACGTTTTCGACACTAGGTTATCATGAGGGTAAATAAACACAGTTCGCCAAATTGACTATATTTCATTTATCTAATTCCCGATGGGAGGAGTTTCGTGACGAGTTTTGTTCGGGAAGTGGCAGAGAGCACGTTTGAAGAGAAGTTTATTGCTGATTTTGAGTAATTTGTTGTACGTGTGAATTCATTTAGTGATGTAGTCAATGGTGTCCTCCACATTTACTTCAGTGAAAAGCGAGAAGACGTCATTGGCAAACACGTCTAATGACTTGGAACCTAAATGCCATCCCCGGGAGAATCGTTCGCATTCCTTCAACTGGGGCATGATCTGCACGGAGAAGTCTTTTCATCAACTAAGAATCCTTGAAGGTCTCATAATGCAACTTTTGCAGCCTAGTTTGAATAAGCAAATTAATTCTTACGTTGCGAAACGACTCCTGTCGGTAATTACTTAAGGATATAAAATATGCAATTTAGCGGACAGTGCTTATTAATAATAAGCTAATGATAATAACCTAATGTCGAAAACGTTTGGTTCTTACTACTTAATTTTTTGTTTCCTTGTGAATAGCACATTTTTCAACTTTAGCGAACTTAATGGACATAGATGAATATGTTGTAGTTTGTAGTTCAATTTTATCCCTGGTTCAAATTTTATTTTCGTTTGTCTTGGTTGTTTCTAATGTATGATAATGAGTTTGAAACAAAGGAAAATAAAATTTGAACCAAGGATAAAATTGAACCACAACAAAAGTGTGTCCATCAATCTTCACACATAGATTAGATTTTCACTCATGTTTCTTTTTCTTATCAACTTTCATAAGTTTCTTTCTCAAGTGAATTCATATTGCAGATAAGTAATGCTCAATTTTTTGTCCCTCGTGTCAGAAATGAGAGCACCGGCTGTTTATACTTTTTTCATAAGTTTTGCGTTATTTGCCGGTTCCTCCTTTTACAACAAAAGTTATTTTAATCCCAACAAAGTGGAAAAAAACTCCTCAGGTCTAAAAGTGTCCATGGGACTAAAGGACAGAAAAAAATATGAAATAGAAGACTGAGTCACAAGAAATAAAAAGCTCAGTTAAGGCCCAGAGTGCAAAATTTAGGCCTAGAAATTATTTTTCTCGGGGCTGTGCTTGTAGTCTGCAATCTGCAATCAAACTTAGTTTTACGGAAGACAGAGTGAATATGGTTTGGCTGTCTACAATTAGAGAAATGTTTGGACAGTTTAAAGATGTCTGCAGTATCAGTTTCTTTGTTCTGAGGTCCTTTTTCAAAGGCCATAGCAGCAACATTTCTTGTTATCAGTAATTCACAAGCTTTCTTGCTGCTAGAGGGACTTGTGGCCAGTGCAGTCATTAGTTGTGGTCACAAAGGAAGCTTCGTAGGTAAAGAGGAGATATGACATTCATCCACTTTTGAGAAAGGTACGCAGATAGTATCAAGGCTCATGAAGCCTTTCAGGTATCCTAAATGGAAGCTAAGAGACATCTTTACATATACGTTCTGGCCGAGAAGGAGAAAATTGCCAAACTTATAGAGCCACAGTATGTCGAGGCATTCAGGAAGTTTGAGAACGACAGAGCAAACTTTGAGGAGAAGTTACATGTTAATCACTTCTGGTAGTTAAGGGATTAAAGAAGCACACTGATCTTGCGAGGTGCTACAATGCCATTTGAAACTGTCTTTACAGTCTCAACCAGCCGAAGAAAGCATCTGAGTTTTACACTAAAGCTTATGAGATGCAGGCTCGTACGGGATTTGAACCCAGGCCTCTGCGATACCGACCAGTTGGCTTGTTAGCTCAGTTAGTAAAGCGCTGCCCCGTTATCGCAGAGGTCATGGGTTCAAATCCCATACGAGCCTGAATTTTTTTCAGGCCTTATTCTCACTACTACTTAAGTAGTGTTCATAACTGCGGGGATCGCTTCCATATACATTTCTTCAAACGCAGTTCACACATATGATTTTTATATCATTTACAGTAAAGTTGGGTAAAGAACCAGCTGCCTCTTTTTCGTTAAAATAACTTAAGTCTTTGTACAAAGCACTTCTATGATGTCACATTTTCAGTTAGGAAATCTGTGAAGCCACTGTAGGCCTTCAGTGTGGTTAGCTTTAGTTTCCTGTTTGATATCGAAAGAGACCGTCTTTAATCGGGGAAGGGAAGTATTAGTTTACAATTTTGATTCAAAAATAAAAACAACTTCGAAAGCTTCTCCTTCCCGGTAGATGTCGCAGCTCAGCAGATTCGGAAGCAAGGATGAGGAGCCGAACTTTGTATAGTGTCAAAGAATAAGATTACGGGATCTGTAGAACTAATTTGAACTTATTATAATTCAATTGGATTGGTATTTTCATTTTAAAGTTGTTTAAGTTTACTTATAATATCCTCGTACACCGTTTTAATAAGCAGATGTCGGATAAGTTGATTGTAGATATCAAACAAGTAGCTGAATGATTGCTCATGTTTATTTTCCGGTGCAAATGTAGAAGTATTATTTCGAAGGAAGTGCTTTGAATTCGGGATTGGCTTTAAAGTGCATACGCGTTACTCAATTGCAATAATTTAGAGATTAGTTTCTGGTATGATTGTTAGCATAAACGGAAATGGTCTGGTTCGAATTCATATATGTATGCTAAAACTGAGTTGTTTTTAACGTAGGATCTTCCCTTTTTCGGAGGTGCTTTCTATTACGAAGCTAAGTCATTATTTTTGCTCTTCACCCTTTTGACCTGATACTAGTCTTGCACAGACCATTTCTTCCTGGAATTTCTAGAATCACCGACCTAGTACCATGATCTGAGGTATTTTTGCAACTTTTGCTGAAGCCATTCCAAACTAATATTTCAGTTTAAAGTTTTTTCTTGCGTCCGTTTAGCGTCGATCAACTCAAAAGCTTCATCATTCCCCCGCCAGGAAACTCTCGGGGCATTTAAACTTTTAAAGAGTTCCTCCTTCAAATTCCCGTCTACCGGGGCTAAAAATTGTGTTCAAATGCCCTACCAAGTGCCGGATTTGATGCCAATTTGTTTATAAAAGGCAAGATCAGCGACTGTGACTTTCTTGGAGACCTTTCCTTATGAGGTATCTGCTCGCGAAAGTGAACTCTTTACCTTTAAACAGCTCCATATTAAAAGATAAAACACGTGTATTCCGCTGGAGGAACTTGATAAGTCCGGTTCAAATAGCCCACCCCACCCATACAAGGTTCAAGTTCCTCACCCCCCGGAAAGAACGACAGTCAAATACCCGTGTGTTGCCTGGGGGGAATGTTGAAGCCTTGATTTGATTGGCGCTTTATTCTGGGATAGACATTGTCTCATGCTATGGTTTTCACTTTCATCTTGGTGCGTTTTAGCGAGTAACGATGGCCTCTGAAAGAAAGCCAGTTGACTCCATCAGCATAAGACAAATGGGAGCCATTGAGGTACAATCCGTTCAGTTTGGATTGATGGCAGCTTTTGTACCACCAGGCTCCCTTGTAGCTTCGAGAGCATTGGAAGTAATATCAATCATTGTCTTGATCATTCGCAGAAAACTCCATATTGCTGAAATGAAATCTTATGTAAGCTCGTTTTGTACCATGTTTAGACAGATAGAAAGCGATTTGTTTTTTTATTTATTCGTTTATTTACGATATTTATACAGTTGGCCCAGGTCAGCTTTAAAGTTGGTTTGAATGGTAGCCTGTAGAAACTAATAACAAGGCCAAAACACAACACCGGTAGCTTCGCTCCCTTCTCCTTGCGGGGACTTTGTGTGTTCCCTAACATCCCCTGCCAACCAGGACTGAGAAGATGCAGGAGACGGGGCCTACGGTTTATCGTCCTTTTTCGAGAGGCTTTGAACGTTTATCCATTTGCGGGTTCACAGAAAAGGCAGCACATTTCACGACTCTGAGTGTTGGTCTGGTCTGGGGCTTGAGCCCTGATCCTCCCGTAGAGCAGTCTAGGTTATCGGATGACGCAATCAAATCACGTGACTTATGAGATTGGAACCTTGCTCCTCACCTGCATTTCTTGAATGATCTCGGAAAACTGTTGAAATGTCAATCTCACTCAAGTCTTTCTGTCCTCACATATTACTAGAAGTGTACGTTGCTGAAGTTTGTTTAAGGCTCACGAAAGCCTCTTAGTTTATCAGTTTCTCGCGTTTGTAAAGTTAGGACCTTTCCACATAAGCGAAAAAGGTTTTTATCTAGACAAATTTCATGTCATCATCAATATTTTACAAGTGCAGCTGAATTGTTGCGACTTGACAAATTTTGGCCGAAGCGGACAAATCTTCAAACGCACCGCCATCGTATCTTTAAATTTCAAGACAGAACGCCTCTATTTTGTTGATACTTTGTTGATTCTTGAGTTTCTCTCACGATAAAGAACGATGAAACCAGTCAGCTTTATTGAACAGGAGAGAAGGGATCAAGGTGACAGTCGTGCAGTTTTTATTAGACGTAGAACCCATGTAATTATACTTACTAGTGATTGCAGAATGATTTAAAGCCAGGCGTTTTTCTTTTGTTCTAATTTTTGTTTCTCTTTAGATACAAAATTTAAACTATATGTGACAGTCCGTTATGATCAGTTCCCTTCGCTGATAATTTTCTAAAACTGCACCTCTAATCGAAACATGCTTCTCGCGGCTGGAAATGGATACTCTCTTAGACAACATAATATCTTTCTTACCTATGTACCGTCATAGAGTCACCAGCAGTGTCATTGTATCCTTCAACAAAAAGCCGGTACTTGTAAGCTTCGTCTGCCACAATAAAATTGGTGTACTCAGCGTACGTGATGTTCCCTTCAAAGTCTTCCAGGTCAACTCTCAACATAACGTCATCAGCGGCTGTTAAACGGTGAAGATTGTCGTTTCCAAGCCCTAAATCTCCGCTCAGATCTCCGAAGCCGTTTCTGTAGGATTCCCATCTAAGATAGAAGTCAACAGAGCCATCCAAGCGTTTCTGAAAAACGGTTCAGCCTCCACCGTCTGTGGTCATGTCACATAACACTTGGATTGGTTTGCCACCATCTGGATGGTGTATACGCCGCTAGAATTGAAACCATCTTGAAACAATTGAGAGCAACTTTTTGCTTCTATTGCGTGGAGAAAAAGAACCTATATAAGATGACTTCTTTATATGATAATTGAGGCTTTTTCCATGCCTAAGTAAAGGGATATACACCTACCGCAAGGTTTTCCTGCGAAGCCATGCTTAAACTGGCATCGATAGTTAGGAACACATATACCATGATCCCCACATTGGAAATTGTCCTCTTTACACGCGCTCTAGAGAGAAAATTTGTGTCAAGTAAATTCCTAAACATCTGTAAATCGAAGGAGTTTCTTTCTTTCAAAAGGGCAATGATATTCTAAGGATGGACACTCATGTTGTTGCGGATAGGATTTGCACAAACTACTTTGCGATATGGTCTTCGGCTTGTGCACCCTGTTACGTACAACAGAAAACCTGTACACAAGCCTCGTTCTAAGGAAAAGAGAGACCTCGGATATGAGGTTACCAGCATGATAACAATGATGATGATGATGATGATGATTACGATGATGATATCATGATGAATAGTAGTTGTTATTACATCACCGTCACTATTATTACTTTTATCAGTATTTTTTATCATCATTGACGATGACTATAGCCATGAGGGGGTCCCCTTACTCTCTGTCCAAGAAAACCAAGTCTTGCTACAATATGCGACAATTTTATTACGAAGCGCAACAGAAGACACATCCTTTCCTTTTGGATAGCAAAACGCGACTAGTTCACATGCAAGATTTACGTCAAAAGAAAAGCGAGAATTAAGGCTCTAGATATGCCACTCTCTATCAGACTGATTTATACTGTCTTTAACAGCCTCTCATCCGGTATTCATCGCCAAAATGACCTCAAAGTCATTTGAATTATTTTTTCTCGAAAACCTAACTGTTTTTGTTAGTCTAGTCTCTTTCCCCTAACACCAACGGCGGGCAAAATCCTATCACGATTATTGTCCGAATCTACTTCTCCATCTCTTATCAGGCTTCTTTTCAGCTTTTGTCCCTTTATCTTTTCGGCAAAGTTAATTGCCTTGAAATTTGGCCCTGAAATACGGCTTATGCCATAGGCAAAGGCGCAAAGAAGACATATTATGCTGAGATAAATGTTTAGTCTTCACTATCAGAAAGAGTATGATAAAAAGGAATGAGTTATTTCGTTCTATTTCCTAACTAGATAACCAGGTGCAAGAAAATTGCCAGAACAAAAACAGTATAAACAAAATGTTTTGTTAACTTTCTGCTAAGCTGGTTTTCATTTCCGTCAGAGCTTAGACGAAGGGCTAACGCTCGAAACATTACGGTGCCCAATTTACGTATTCAACTCAGTTGCTAACACTAAATTACCTGTTATTACGGAAGCAGAGAAGGGAAAATCCAAAAATATTTTGCAAATCCGAAAAAATGTTTAGAATCGATATCTAATAGACAAATCGCTTTTGGAAAGTTTGTCAAATCGAGGGAACAATTTCAGGTCCTGGTTTTATTCAAAGATCCACAAATAACTTTCACGAAAATCGAAAATAGTCTTCAATCCAGGAGTCTTTCCAAAATCCAGAAGATTTACGAAAATGGAGAAAAATATTTTGTCACGTGACATTTGCGCCAGTAGTCAGCACTTTGTCACATTACAGCTCATTTCATCGCACTAGGTTGCACCAGGTCGACTTGGAATCACTACGCGAACGGACTAAACTGTACCAAGTGTATTGGAAAAGAATTTGTGAGTAATGAGCTATTCTGCCGTCGATGTGGAACATTAAAGAGACCAAACATACACAATCAGTCCTTGCTGAAAACAATTTCTGAAAAACCTCAGACCATCTCTTACAAAAAGGGAAAATTTCTTAAAGACATGCTTATAAGAGCATAAATATAATTTGAAGGCGATAATGTGACACGACCACAAAAGCCACATGGGGAGTCCGTGTCGGTCTGTCTTTCAATGATCTTTATTCTCACGGCCGGGCGAAAGTGTCACGTGACAAAATATTTTTCTCGATTTGCGAAAATTTTCTGGATTTAAGGAACGATTCTTGGATTGTAAACTATTTTCGATTTTCCGCGAAATTTATTTGTCGATCTATGAATTAAACAAGGATTTGAAATTGTTTTCTCGATTTGACAACCTTTTCAAAAGCGATTTGTCTAAAAGGTTCTGAATATTTTTTTCGGATTTGCAAAATATTTTTGGATTGTCCCTTTTCGGCTTCCATAGTGGGCCTTGAGTGAGGTTTGCTTTAGTGCCCTGTTTAATATAGAAAGAGACCTATGAGGTTTTTTTACGGACAAAATATCGAACATGGATACATTAATGTTTTGTTCAATTACGTTATTGTTATGCGTTATAATACAAGTTTTAAAATAAAATAAATCAATTTCATCCGGAATACATCGATTTGGATGTCATACATCGATGTTGTGCATTATACATCACTTTCCTGACTCATTAAGCAAGAGGCCCCGGTAAATAACAAAATGGCGGGAATAGAGGCAAATGATCAATGAAGTTTGAGAAGCAGTACGCAAGGTGCACGGATTTGGCTGCCCAACATCGAAGGATTTTTTACGTCTTCGGGTAGGCTATTGGAAAGTGCAGAAGGGTAAAGGAACACTAAGAGTAAGATTTCAGGGGGTGGTAGAGGTTTCGTTCGATTCTCGCATTTCATGTACGTGATATGTTGTCGTCTCGCCTTATTTCAGACATTTATGCCTTGTTTTAGATGGTTTTAGATGGTTTGCGAGTGGCTGTAGATTTTTTTGAGGTGGTTGTTGAAAATTTTGAGGTAGTTGTAGATGGTTGTAGGTGGTTGTAGATGGTGTTAAGGTGGATTTAGATCGTTCCATGTTTTAGTGCTTACGGTTAACTGTGTTGTTTCAGAATTGTTTCCTCTTAGGGGTGAAAAACATATCAAGCTATGCCCATAAAACAGGATCTTGGTACCTTTTAAGGGTTCTTTTCTAATTTTGCGACAAGCGGTTTTAAATCTGTGGTACAAGGGAGGTCAGGCTGTAATTTTGATGCATGAGCATTAATGCCAACTCAACTCATGATTTGAGATACTTCCCCCAATTCTATTTAGCCCCCTCACTAATCACCCAAATCCAGTTTCCCAGCCCCCACCTTCCCCAGATATTATGCTCAAAATTCCCGACTATCATGCCTGTTACTCATGGGTGGTCAACAAATGCCTCTTCTTGTTGTTATGATCATTATTGTTGTTGTTGTCATTATTATTATTATCATTACCACTATTACTCAGATAGGCAGATGCAATGAAATGAACTAATTTAGCGGTCAGTGCAATAATCATCCTGTAAGCACACAATGCAATTTCTCTCCCAATCAGCTCTGGATACAAGGAATGCTACATTTCAGAAATTCTGGGTATAAGGCTGCGACAGATGTGACTGCCAGCAAGGCTGTTAATTTTGACCATCATGGGATTGATGAAGAAGGGCCTGTACCTGACATGCAGAGTGACTATGCAGTTTCGGTACCTGACACAATTACTACTCTGACACATAACCAATAATTGCCACTGCAAGAAGCTAGAGATGCAGCCTTCAAAATTGGTGATCATGATGGAATCATAGCCTGCCAAGTGGTATTGCAGATTGCTTCTTTTTATTTAAACTGCTGTTCATGATTTACTGTATTAACTTCATATACTTGGAGTGAACTCTTAAAACAGTTAGTATAAACTGGTTACTGCTATACATGTCAGTATGCCAAGAATAAAATTACTAATGACAATGTAAATGGGAAACTGTAACAGTAATCAGGTATAATCTCAAATCTAACAGCCTTACTGATGCAAAGGAGTGTAAAAATTTTAATAGCCGGGAAAAAAATACATGATGTTATAGTGGCATAATGTACTAAATGCTTCATAGCATAAACACTTTGACATGAGATCTAGCCTTGATTTGCTATCACTCAAAACAATAGCAAATAAGGTAAAGCTGTGGCTACATTGCATGCATAATGGCTATTGCAGAGAAGTTTATACTCTTGTAAATGAGCTCTTGTAAGCTCTTTTTGTTAGTGCTGAGTTTATCATGCTGTTAATGAAACAGTTAAATAAATATGCTGAGTAACTTGAAACTGTTAACACAACTGTTAACTGAAAGTAAGATAAGGAGGGATCATCCTTTCATGTCTGTATCTTGCCAAAACCAATTTTGCCATAAGCAATACTCTCATCCAAGAATTCTTCAGATATCAGCCCAACGAAAACCTGCGTCACTGCTGTAAGATCTGTAGCCTTGGTCTGCCAACTAAACCGTTCCTAGCCACAGTTGAAAGACGATCGTTTAAGGACGATGGTGCAGTAAACGTAGAACGTTCCGAGTCCTCGAAAATTCTGTCAAAGTCCCTTGAAAGTTGGTTCATAAGAAAAACAAGTTCGTTTAGATCAGAGATCACCTCACCTTCATTTGGGAAGGCTTCTTCTATTCTTAGAGTCAAAGTGACAAGAGTTCTTTCGTTTTCTCGTAAACGGCGACTAAAAAATTCAGCCGAGTTGTAGGACGCAGTGTTCCTTTGCCCTTCTGCATTTTCCAGTAGCCTACCCAAAGAAGTAAAAAATCCTTCGATGTTGGGCAGCCAAATCCGTGCACCTTGCATAGTGCTTCTCAAACTTCACTGATCATTTGCCTCTATTTCCTCCATTTTTAAAGTGCTGGTTCCCGGGGACTCTTGTTTAATCTGACTTCCGGTCATTTCTATTTCCGCTCCCTCATCTTTTAGTTTTATTGAACATCTTTTAGTTAAATAAGGTCACGCGTGAATGAGTCAGGAAAGCGATGTATGCTGCACAACATCGATGTATGACATCCAAAATCGATGTATTCTGGGTAAAATTGATTTATTTTATTTTAAGATTTGTATTATAACGCATAACAATAACGCAATAATAAGACATTAATGTATCTATGTTCGATATTTTGTCCGTAAGAGAACCTCATGGAGACTAGTCTTTAATAGGGGAAGAGAAATATTATTTTACAATTTTCATTCAGAAATAATAAGTAACTTCGAAAGCTTCTCCATGCGAGCAGACGTTGCAGCTCAGCAGATTCGGAAGTAAGGATGGGCAGCCAAAATTTGCATATTGTTAAAGAATAACATTACGGGATCTGTTGAACTAATTTGAACTTATGATAATTCAATTGGATTGGTATTTTGTTTTTGAAGTTGTTAAAGTTTACTTAGAATATCGTCGTACACCGTTTTAATAGGCAGATGTTGGATAAGTTGACTGTTGATATCCAACAAGTAGTTGAATGATTGCTCATGTTTATTTTCCGGTGCAAATGTATGAGTATTATATCAAAGGAAGTGCTTTGAATTCGGGATTGGCTTTAAACTGCATACGCGTCACTCAACTGCAGTAATTTAGAGATTAGTTTCTGGTATGGTTGTTAGCGCAAACGGAAATGACCTACTTCGAATTCGAATATATGCCAAAACTAATTTGCTTTTAAATAGATTCTTCCCCCTTTTTAACAGAAAACGAAGCGTTTTAACTTGAATGAGACTGAAATTTAGGCAACCTATAGTATGATGAGCCCATGCAAGATTTACAGTGAAGCGGACGCTAGCTGCTTTTATTCCATGAAAACGAATGTATCCACTTGGAAGAAAACTTCACCAAAAAAAACCCCTAAAAAATAAGAAACTAAAAAACAAAACAAACCAAAACAAAGTAGGAGGGTTTTCGGATAGATTAGGGAACACACAACAGCTTCTTCAAGAGAACAGAGTTCGTTACATGCCTTTAGTTTTTCCTTTTAAATCTCATGTGCCCCTAATTTTTTAAAATGTTCTATTACGGAATGTTATTGGTGACTTGGTTACTCAGAAAACGTTATCGACCTAAGTAAGGCTAACTTTCGTTTATGAATTGGTTAATCAATAAATCAATGAACATCAATTAATACTTTATTTACCGTAAGTTAAAAAGTTAAAAGCAACAGAGCTGATATGGACTTGCATGTATGACATACAACAATACACTATTAATCTAAAGTTCTAAGTGTAAATCAAAATGTTTGCAAATAGTAGTCAATAATAAAAGTAATCTTGGTATTTATTCGAGTTTGTAAAGGCTTCCTTCTGAAATAACATGTTGACGGTTATATTCTAGGCTAAAAGCCCTCTTCATCCTAGAGAGGTTCTCCCTAAATCTACGTTAAGATGTGGTAATTTAAAACTTGGGGAGTTGCATAAATTATAATTAGAACTACTACTCTAGATCTAATTAAAAAGACAGAATATCATCTGCCTCCATATCATTATGTATCCTGTATATAAATAAAGCAATCACCCAGTTTCATACATATTTAAATACGAATCCCACACAGTCAAGGATAGAACATCCTGAGTGTCCCAAGGCACTCTATGTATGATTTTAGCAGCACATACATGTATATACTCGAGCTCTAGCGTTGATGATGGGGAGCATGTGTCCCATAGTAAATCGCAGTAACTGTGAGGACTATACAAGTGAAATAGATACTTTCTATTGCACTCAAAGTAGGTCCAAGGCTTCATAAACTTTGTTAAATAACAAAACATGGATGCAACAGACAGTTTTTATTTTGAAAAAAAAAATATGGCATTGTTCACTATAAGCTCCACCTAAATACCAATTCAATGCTAAAAATTGCATTGAAGCTACTAACAAAATTCAATTTAGTCGTGTTATCATATATACGTATCAACTTACTGACTTAGGTTTAGCACGAGCTTCAGTTCAAATCGTTTTCTTGTCGGTTAAGCGTCAATCAATTCAAAAGCTTCAACATCCCCTTCCCTCGAAACTCCCCGGGCATTTGAACTTTTAAAGACTGGCTCGTTCAAATTCCCGTCATCCGGGGCCAAAATTGTGCTCAAACACAATTTTTTGTAAGAAGCAAGGTCAGTGACTGTAACTTTCTTGTAGACCTTTCCCTCGTAGCCATCTTTTTGCGAAAGTGAACTCTTTACCTTTTAACAGCTCCATACTAAGACATAAAACACGTGTATTCCGCTGGAAGGACTCTGCAGGTTCAGACAAATTGCCCACCCCACCCAGGAAAGGTTCAAGTTCCCCACCCTTTTGAAAGAACGACAGTCAAATATCCGAGTGTTGCCTGGGGGGGGGGGTTGTTGAAGCCTCGATTTGATCGACGCATTATCCTGGAATAGACATTTTCTTATACTTTGGTTCTCACTTTCATCTCGGTGCGTTTTAGTGAGTAATGATAGCCCCTAAAAGAAAGCCAGTTGACCCCATCAGCACGAGACTCATGGGAGCCATTGAGGTACAATCCATTCAGATTGGAGTTATGGCAGTTTTGGTACCACCAGGCTCCCTTGTAGAGTTGGGAGCAGTGGCCGTTACCTCCGTCATTGTCTTGATCATTCGTAGAAAACCTCATATTGCTGAAATGAAATCAAATTTCATGTAAGCTTGTTTTCACCTTGTTTAGACACATAAAAAGCATTAGTAACTTATTTATTTATTTATTCACGATATTTATACAGGCTGATCAAGTTCAGTTTTAAAGCTGGTTTGGATGGTAGCCTATACAAACTAATAACAACTAGGCCAGGCCTAACCCAATACCGGGAGCTTCGTTCCCTTCTCTTTGCGAAAAGTACGTGGGTTCTTTAACATCCCCTACTGACCAGTAAAGAGAAGATGCAGGAGATGGGGCCTACGGTTTATCGTCCTTTTTCAAGAAGCTTTGAACGTTTATCCGTTTGCGGGTGTTAAAGCAAAGGCGGCACATTCTTGGTAGTCTGGGTTATCCGATTACGTAATCAAGTCACGTGACTTATCAGATCGGAACCTTGAAAAACTGTTGAGATCTCAATCTTACTGAAGTCTCACATATTACTGGAGGTGTATGTTGATGTAGTTTGTTTGAGGCTCCCGAAAGTCTTTTGGTTTATCAATTTCTTGAGTATATAAAGTTAGGGCCTTTCCGCACTAGCGAATAAGTTGTTTCCTGTCAACATCAACATTTTACAAGTGCAGATTGTTTGTCGCGACTTGAAAAATTTTGATCGAGGCGGGCAAATCTTCAAATGCACCGCCGACAACATTTGTCCCGGGTAAAAACTGAACAAAATCGACTTAATAAACAAAACCGTGAGAAACTTGTCGATTATTTGTCGTAAAAGCTACGATCAGCCTGTAATTGAACTGAAAGCAGTATAGTATGAAGGCAATAGTTATCTTTTGTTCCAAAACACGGGGATTGAAATTTTTGAAACGGCTTGTACGAATCCTAGAAATTGGAGGTTTAATCCTTTGGCAAACTTGGCTGGCCAGTCTTATGAACACATCAGGCACTGACGGAATTTTGGACGGCTTTCAAATTTTTTTGATGCGGATGCAACAGACGAAGCAAACATTTTACATGACAAATTTGTCCTTTGATATTTTCGGAACAATTTTAGTTATGCCCATTTATGATTGTGATTGTGACGATTAAAAATTTAAACGAAGATGGAGACCAATAAAACATTAAACTCCCAAAATAAACATCAAAGCCATACGTTTTCCTTTGTTTTGTCTGGAAATGTTTCTCTTTACATACAAAATTCAAACTGGATGTGATAAGCCGTTCATGATTAGTTCCCTTCGAAATCAATTTCTAAAGCTACATCCCTATTCGAAACATGCTTCCCGCGGCTGGAAATGGATTCTGTCTCAGTCAACCTGAATTCCTTACTTACTTATGTACCGTCATAGAGTCACCAGCGGTGCCCTTGTATCCTCCAATCAAAAGCCGGTACTTATCAGCTTCGTCTGCCACACCAAAATCCGTGTACTCAGCATATGTGATGTTCCCTTCAAAGTCTTCCAGGTCAACTCTCAACATGACATGATCAGCGGCTGTTAAACGGTGAAGATTGTCGTTTCCAAGCCAGAACTCTCCGCTCAGATCTCCGAAGCCGTTTTTGTAGGATTCCCATTTAAGATAGAAGTCAACAGAGCCGTCCAAGCGTTTCTGAAAAACGGTCCAGCCTCCACCGTCTGTGATCATGTCACATAACACTTGGATTGGTTTGCCGCCATCTGGATTGATGGTGTATACGCCACTGGAATTGACACCATCTTGAAATAATTGAGAGCAGCTTTTCGGTTCTATTAATTTGCGAGGAAATAAAGAACCTATTCGAAATCACTTCTTTATATGACAATTGAGGCTTTTTCTATACCTAAACAAAGCGAAATATACCTACCGCAAGGTTTTCCTGTGAAGCCATGCTTACACTGGCATCGAATGCTGTCATCTTGATAGTTGGGAACGCATGTACTGTGATCACCACATCGGAAACTGTCTTCTTCACACGCGCTCTAGAGAAAAAAGTTGTGTCGAGTAACTTCCTAAACATCTGTAAGTCAAAGGAGTTTCTTTCTTTCAATAGCGCAGGGATATTCGAAGGATAGCAACTCATTTGGTTGCGAACAGGATTTGCACAAATTTCTTCAAGATATGGCCTTCGGCTTGCGCACCCTGTTACGTGCAACAGAAAACCTTTGATAGGTTGGGAGATAAACAAAGTCTACGAGACCATACACAAGCCTCGTTCTTAGGGAAATAGAGACCTCGGGTATGAATTTACCACCATGATAATGATGATGATGATGATGACGATAATGATATCATAATCAATGGTTGTTTTTATTTTTATCATCAATGTCATAATCATTACTTTTATCAGTATCTTTTTATCATCATTGACGATGGTTATAGCCATGAGTGGGTCTCCTTACGCTCCGTCTAAGAAAACCAAGTCTTGCTACAATATGCGACAATTTAATTACGAAGCGCAACAGAATACACATCCTTTCTTGTTGGATAGCAAAATGCGACTAGTTGACATGGAAGATTTACTTCAAAGAAAAGCAAGAATGAAGGCTTTATATATAAAACAAATCGAAACATTTTTCGCGAAAAATCTAGCCGTTTTCGTGAGTGGAGCCCCCTTCCCCTAACGTCAACAGCCGGAAAATTTCTATCACGATTATTTACAGATCTTCTTAAGCAGATAAGGAGGTAAAAGAAGAAATGAAAGCTTAAATAGTTCAAAGTTAATCAAGATTTTAATTCTGATCCACAACAGAAGTCATTGTTGATGCACTAAACAGATTTAGCTTACCTTTATTCCCCTGTAAATGAAATCTTTATCCTCGATAAAGTTAGCAAATCCAGCAAATCGGTCAGAGTCGCTTAGTTGACACTTGAATTTGTTTGAGTCGCCCTTTATGGTTCCAAAGTTGTAAGACTGACATCGCTCTTCATACACACACTCAAACTGACAGGAACTTTCCGAATCCACTTCTATATCTCTTATCAGGCTTCCGTTCAGCTTTTGTCTCTTTATCTTTTTGGCAAAGTTAACAGCTTTGACATTTGGCCCTGAAATACGGCTTATGCCGTAGTCAACGGCGCAAAGAAGAAATATGATGCTGAGATGCATGTTTAGTCCTCACTGTTAGAAAGAATATGATGAAAAAGAATAAATGTTTATTTCATTTCGACTTCCTAACTAGATAGGCAGGTGCTAGGAAATTGCGAGATTGAAAACAGTATAAGCCATACGATATGTTTTGTTAGGTGACCTTCAACATAGGCCTGTTGCTAAACAGGTTTTAAGTTTCCTTCAAACTGCATTATTTTGCAGTGTTTTCCTTTTTTTCCTTTTTTCTCACCGTGACTATTCTTCTCGAGGACTGATGGTTAAATCGTCTTTTTCTCTTACAGAGAGCATAAAGGAAAGGACTAGGTGAAAAAACGTTTTAATTTTCTTTAGTCATAGATACTTGCATTCTAGTATCTATAATTCATTAATTTTCAGCCTCTATGACTCTTTCCTCAGCAAAATTTAATAGCATCTTTCAATTGTTTAAATAAGGATGACAATCTAATGGTTCGTGTTCAATTTCAGAAAACCTGAGTCGGTGCGTACAATATAAATTGTCGAATGCTTTTAAGCAAGTTTCAAATTTCAGGCCTATTAAATTAGTCCATTGATTTTATAATTACAGGCAATTGTGTTCCCAAAATTTCCCTGAGGCTTTTGATTGTTTCTTTCCCTTAGCCCTCGTGCAGTGTGCTTAATTACAACATAGAATGATAAAAAATATAGAGGAATAGGAGCCATTTATCAGGAGAAAATATAAACCAAACGTTTTCGACACAAGGTTATTATCAGGGTAAATAAGCACCATCCGCCAAATTGATGATATTTTATATTCCTAAGTAATTCCCGATGAGAGGAGTTTCATGACGAGTTTTTTTAGGGAAGTGGTAGAGAGCACGTTTGAAAAGAAGTTTAGAGCTGAGTTTAGGTAATTTGTTGTACGTGTAAATTCATTTAGTGATGTTGTCAATGGTGTCCTCCACATTTACTTCCTTGAAAAGCGAGGATACATCATTGACAAACACGTCGAATGATTTGGAACCGACATGCCACCCTCGAGGGAATCGTTCGCATTCTTTCAACTGGGGCATGATGTACAGGTAAAAGTCATTTTATCAGCCCAGAATCCTTGAAAGTCTCATGATGCAACTTTCGAAGCCTAGTTTTGCCCTGTAAATAGCTCAGTATTCAACCTTAGCGAACTTAATGGACATAGATAAATATGTAGCTGACAATCTTCACAAATAAATTATATTTTCACTCTTGTTTCCTTGACTAATTAACTCTCTCAAGTTTCTTCCTCAAGTTGTATCATTTTGCAGACAACTGATGCTTAATTGTTTGTCCCTCGTGGCAGAAATGAGGACACCAGCTGTTTATAATTTTTTTCTTAAGTTTAGTGTTATTTGCCAGTCACTCCTTTTACGACGGAAATTATTTGAAATCCCAACAAAGTGGATAAAAAACTCGTCAGGTCTAAGAGTGTTCATAGAACTAAAAGACAGAAAGAAATATTCAATAGACGACTGATTCAGAAAAAATTAAAAGCTCAATTAAAGTCGTGAGTGCAAAATTTAGGCCTAGAAACTATTTTTCTTGGGGCTGTGCTTATAGTCTGCGATCAAACTTGAAGTCTGACGATCCTCTTCACCAATTCGCTGGATCAGTTACTCACATGGGAAATGTTAAAGAAGAACTGTATGTTTCAGTGAAAATGGCGAATCGCGATTAATTTCCACAGCAACATAACAAACATAATCATAAACATAATATCGTCTATATGATTAGGATATAGTAGAAGCAGGAGATGGAATAAGCAAGTAGTGTGCACAATTAGATTCACGAGAAAAACCACTTCCGCGACCCTCTCTTCTCCCTGTCACCGACAAAAGAAAAAAAGATTACTGAATCTTTTGCCTGAATTCACGTCCTCGTAGAAGAACAGCGTTCATACACCACTAAGTCTCACGAAACTCTGTTCACATTCGGAGAAAAACGATTAGTCGCCCCATGTAAGGTAATCCAGGACAGTTTTAGATTCTGGATTCCACGTTGTGGATTCCGGATTCCAGGTGCTGGATTCCGGATTCTACCATTGCAGATTCCGGATTCCAAAACACAAAAGATTCCAGATTTTGGTCACTGGTTTGCCCCTAATTTTCACATTTCGTTTTCTAGGAATGACTTCAATGGCAGATTTCGCTATTGAAGGACATGTTTGTGAATGCATGTTTGTCTATTTATATTTCCATAAAAACATTTGATAATTATGAAACTTGAAATTATGACATTTGAAATGTATAACAGCAAATTAAGGGATAAATTTTTGTTGTAGGAATACCTGTTGAGACTGTCCGTCTCTTAAGTCCAATGTCCATTCATTCCACATCTTTTAGCAACTCTGAAGAGGCCAGGCCGCATTTCTTTCATACAGGTTCCTAGAGGTTCTTCAAGTGATTTAACAGGAACAAAGAACATATAGTTCAAATCATTGCTTATCATTTTTAATTTCTAAATAACTGTTGGACTAAAAGGTTTTTCTGGTACAGCATAACATTGTTCTGACTTGGAAAAGATGGCCAATTTTTTTAAATATAAAATTGACTTAGAACTGCCAAGAAAACAGCTCGAAAATATTTCCCTATCATCTCAAATTACTTTTTAAACTTTCCTTTTAAACAAAAACCATGGTATTGAGGCAAAAATTTAAACTGGAATAAAATTTTAATAACACCCCGAGTAAATCGCGGACAGAAAAGCTTGTTTTCCTAGATGTAATTGGCGATGATGTTCGACGAGATTGCGCATTAAACGGTGTTAAACCAATTCAACTATACTTACACCTTTGAAAAATCGCGAAAGATCTTCATTTACACTAGTCATGCTGTGCGTTCGCTGCGTTCCAGCATTTAACGAGGCATAATACACTGTTGTTCAATGAGATGCAAACAATTGGCCTGGTATTCTCAAGTTGAAAAAGTGTGTGTTTAAGTGTGAATCACGATTGGGGCGAAATTTTGCGCCAAGTAAGCGATTTTCATGACCAGTGCCAGGTAGCATAATAAAATATTTAACAAGCAGAGTTTATTCAAGCCTCTAGCGTAACTGATCTCAAAACGACAAAAGGCCTAAAGCACTGCTAACAAGCGAGTCACGCTATGAGTTTGTTGCGTTTCATCATTGAACGAGGCATGATACATTGTTGTTCCATGAGATGCAAACAATTGGCCGAGTATTCTCAAGTTTAGCAAAGCGTTTTTTCGAGTCTTTCAACTTCTTTTAAACTTCCGAATTTTACTACATTGACGATTTACGCTCTAACCTAGAAAAAATTATTACTGACCATAGTTTGTAATTAAAACCTCTGTCGTTCCTGTTTGTTCGTTGCAACCCCGAAAAAAATTCAAAAGGGTTTCATAATACACAAAAATCCTCAAATCTCGATGATCTTGAACTCGTGCATTTTTCTTTTTTGTCTTTCTTTCTTCGGTTTCTTGAGCTCCTGAAGATGCATTTTCAGTAATTTTTTGTAAGTTTCGCTGGAGGTTAAGTTAGTTTAAAATGGAACAGAAAATCAATTGAATCATTACAATGTTACACTTACCTTTCCCTCTCCGCCTTTTGCTTTTTCTTGTGCTTCCCCATAGATTATTATTGAAGTATCGAGATTTAGAGAAAGAGCAAATAGAATAAACAAATGATATATCAATATTGAAAAAGACACTGCAAATTTTCTGTATACTGCGGCTTGTGTCCCTCCACGTGCTCTGAGTGACTGGTGCAGTCTTGACAGTTCCTGGCTGTCGTCTGGCTTCTAATTACAACTATGCCTCCACGGCTACGGGAGAATATTACTTTTTGATGCTCTCATTATGATTTATGGAAAATGAATATTTATTTTTGATTTTGGCCAGTCGCGAGTCAGAAGTGCCAGAAAGTTTGAAAGAGTCGAAAAGGAAAAGAGTATTAAGTATTAAGTATTGAGGTCGATACCTCGACCCTAGGTGCCAGATAAAAGTAGCGCAGTTTCCGGTGCCAAAGCTTGCCGTGCGCCCAATTTGCTTAAAAATCCGGCGGGGAAAGCGGGCAAAAGCAAAGTATCCAAGTTGTCAACAGTTAGATTATTTTCACAGAAATTTACAAATTCCTCGATTAAAAGCAAAACTAAAGCGTATCTTTTACAAGGTAAGTTAATCTCACAGGACGTCCTAGCGGCCATATCATTATTTAGAGGTGTTCCAAAACAATCAAATAGCGGCCATAGTGATGTTCCAAGCAAATCCTGTGGGATTTGAAAGCTCACTTTGAGCAACGATTGATCACGTGAGTGAACTGCACTCTACAGTGGTTGCATGGATGTGGGTGAAAGCCGCTAATACGATTTGAAATGGATTTTCAGGAAGTGGATTCTGGATTCCCTTTTTAGCGGGATCCTGGATTCCAAAAGCTGGATTCTGGATTCCAGAGCCCAGTATTCCGAATTCCACAAACAAAAATTTCCTGGATTCCGGAATCCGGATTACCTTAAATGGGCGAAATTAGAAAAACTTGTATGTTCACAGATTCAACAAATCACTCTTAAGGTAAGATAGAATAAACCACAAGAAGTTTAGGGCAAATAGAAGTATATCATAACTTTCGGCTGAACCGTCACTTGATGAACTAAACGATGTTAAAGGGTATGTCAGATTTCATGTAGAAGCTATAAGGCTCATCCGACCGGAGCTTTCCATGGTCTCAGTGCCACTAACCCAGTAAAGCACAGGGCAGGGTTACCCCCCCCCCTTCTTCCCTTCTTCTTTGGAAAATTTCAGGTCCTTCTGACAGTTTCCTGCGTCCATCCCTACCCTAGATGGAGAAAGTGCTCAAAGAGTAAATATAGAACTTCCCGACGAGGCTTGAATTGTGACCTCATGCTCCAAAGAAGGGACTTCTTGTTGTAGCGATTGTGTGGAATTTCTTAGGTGACAAATGAAGCACTCGCAACTTTACTTGCTTATTGTTACTTCCTGGTTACTTGGTACGATCGCATGACTCATTTTCCGTGCGCCGCTACC